AAATTAGATATTTTAAAATAATCAATGTTTTTCCATTGTTGGTTGTTAGGTTGGTTGCTCAGCTGATCAGCTGTGATCAACGTTGTGACGTCATCAAAACATTCTACAAAACATAGATGTGCAATCGTTTCAATGTTTCATCAGCCAAATTCTGATTGCTGATCCTCGGACATTTTCAGACCGAGGAAAATAGTTTGAGTTGTGAAATGTAGATGGAGCTGCTGTCATGAAGAAGGAATTTTATTACCTACTTACACAATCTTTTTAAAGCTTTCTTGCCGAGTAGAAAGTTTCTTAGTAATGTTACATTTATCAATAAATTTGATGAAGTTTGAACACCGTTTCCCTGCTGTTCCATCTATCCATGTTTTGGTTTAAAAAAATTTAAAGCATTTCCCTAAATTTCATAAAAAAGGACTAAAACAAACTTTTAACTTTTTAATTGATAGTGATTTTGGCAACCTTTTCTTTGCACACTTTTTGCTCTGAAAATTTTGCAATTTCTAATTCGAAAACTCAAAATTTTAAATTTTTTATTGAATTATAATGGATGAATTCGGTCAAGGAGAAGCTTTGGATATCCACATTATTTCAAATCATATTGATTCACTCATCGTGGAACTATTTAAATTCTTTAGTTCCGATGGAAATATTGATTGGGCAGAAGTTACTCGAGAACTAGAAAGAAATGACAGAAAACTTACAGATATGATGACAGAACTCATGAATATAGATCCTTAGAACGAAAATGTTGACTAATAAATTTGAGGTCATACATCCAAATAAAGGGACAATATTAATTTTTTAATAAAATCTTCAAAATCATAAAATAAATCTTCACTATTTAAAATAAATCATTTTTGCCAAAAATCTTGAAGTTTCTGCACACACATTTCATTGGTTATCATTGATGATGTGAAATTAAAGTTTGATAAAATAAAATTAAGTTTAATTTAATAAAATGCAAGACAAAATGAATGATCTCAGTAGCCTGTTTCAAATTGTTTTTTAGTTAATTACGTTAAAAACTCGAAACAGTATTTTTTAAATTTCTGTCGAACTGAGATGAATCATGAAAATATTGTTGTGCAATTCTCAGACCTTCATCTTGCCTCAAATCGGGTTCGAATTCTCATCATGGAATTAATGAAATTTTTTTGTTCAGAAAATGAAGTCAATTGGATAGAAGTTTATGGAGAATTAGAAAGCCTTGACATGAAGGTTCAAGATCTGTTAACTGAACTACAAGGATGGTGATGCAAACGTTAAAGTTTTCTGTTCAAATATCCTTTTATTCAATCATAAAACTTTCAATTCTTTGATGTACCTTCACTTCTTTTGGACTAAATATAACTTACAGAAATCGTATTGGTTCATGTGTTCCACTAAATATCCATCATGTCATACACATTGCTAAAATTTATTAAAAGTTATTGAAAACACATCGATTTAAACTCCAAAACAAATAAGTATGAATTCATACATTTTATTTAAACATTATAGAGCTCACAGGATATTTTGACAGCTTTAAAAGAAATTGTTTTATTTTGGAATAGGAAATAAATATGAGAAGGTATCAATATTTGATTGCTGAATAAATTGTAGGAGAAAACAACAAGTCAAGCTTCTACGACATTTTAAATTGGCCAATTTTCATTCTACGTATAAGGTATTAATGAATTCTTCTGACAATTTAATGGTTAATTTCGTTTTCCTTGAATGTTTATGTTTATATGTGTATAAGTAGTGTAATACTTTTATTGTCAGCTAACAATAGAGAGTAAAATAGAGAAATATTTTGCCATACTACTTCTAAATTAAACTTATTCATTGCCATTAAATTTACGATTATCTCGAGACGCAGTTTCAATATTTTTTTAGATTAAATATACCAATCTTTCAAAATAATCATGTGCAGAAAATGTTTGTTAAGAACACATTTTTGAATGAACTTAAAATCGATTGCACATACATAACTTATTTAAAATAAAATGAATAAAATAAAAATAGCTATTGAGAATACTTTTGATTGGATCACAAAAATTTGAGTACAAAACTGAAAACATTATTGTCAACTATTTTACCAACACTTATCAATTTTTAAATCTATGTTTCCTTTAACTTATACCTCTTCCATTTCAAGCATTTTAACAGAATGGTTTCTTCAACTTTTCTATAGCATTCGTCAAATGTAACATTTCTGTATTTAACTGTGCAACGAGTGTTTCCAACTTATCAACTGAATCGAGAATTTCAACACGTTCAGTATGTGGATTAAATCGGACTTCGAAAGGACGAGACATTGTGGCAACCCATCTGCGGAATTTCTCCTTTGCATCTTCGAAACTCTCTGCTACGTAATAAATTGGTTGGTACTCTTGATCTTGGTACGATTGAATAGCTGTCTTTGCTGGATCAAATGGACGGTGTTCAGGCTTGTCACTTACAGCATGTAACAATTCTCCGTAGGCAGACAACAAACCGGCACCGTAAGCTTTAACTTGGTTTTCTTCTTTGCATAATCCGAATTCAACTGTGAACCAGTAAACCTGTTAAATGAACAAAAAACAATTTTTAAAAACACGCTTATTTTATAAATTCCATTGACGAATTCCTTATTCTTTCAAGTTCATGAACTGAACTTATTAAGTCAATTGCATTTCCGGAAATCATGAGGTAATAAACAAGAAACCCACTGTGAATAACTTCTGTTATGCCTGAATGATTCTGTCGGCACTTTAAAGGTCAGAGTCGTTGCGTTTTGCTTAAGTTTCAATAAAAAGTGAATACAACTGTAACTCTGACCAAGTTTATCTGGATTATTGAAAGATTATTCAAAGATCACAGTTTTTTTCCGCAATTTGTAAACAAAATCTTGGAGAGGGTTTGATCGTAAATAGTTTTAAATTTATAATGTAATATGCAAATAAAAGATATTGATGGCTACATGCAATAATTAAATACGTTAGTGGAAAATTTTGTAGATAATCATTTTTCGAAAAGGAAAACGTGCAAAATATTTTTACACTGATTTCATTCCAGTACAACTTCACGGCCAACACACTTAAAGCAAATTCTATTGCAAGTTGGAGGTCAGGCATAACGAGTGAATAACTACACAGCTTATATAACTGTTTAATTAAAATCAATTTTATATTATAGATTTTTAATACCAGTTCATCGGTTATTTAGACTCTGATTGGTTCAAGGATTTTTAACTATATTAAAAGTGAAACTTAATTAATTGTAAACATTTTAGACTTACAGTTGAAAGCTTTTCTATTTCATCATCAGAAGCTCCCAACGAAGCTAATCCGATTTCTTGTGAGAATTGTGCAAAAGATGAATCACCAAGCAATGGCATGTGTCCAAGCAGTTCATGTATACAATCTCTGTAAAAACGAATCAATAAATAAAGGTTGAATTAATCACATTTTCTTTACATAAATGTCTTTAAATAATAATGTGGAAATTTCCAACTACACTTTTCAAAAGGAACAGAAGAAATATTTTTGATATCCAAAAATCTGTTCCAACTAAAAGTATCATTGGAAAAATTTTCAAGTTTAGACTTGCGAAATAAATATTCGTAAATCGCTATTAATACTGACAAAGTCTTTAATGCGATTACCACATTATGAATTGCTTTAAAGAACAAGAATATCTATAAAATTATTATTTCAGAAGCTTTTTTCATAGCTTATGCGCAGTGCTATAAGAAAAGAATGGAAAGCAACAGAATAAAAATCTTTTAGACAATAAAAATTGAAGTGAACGGCTAATGCTATCAACTCCATTAGCTTTATTATCCATAAGAAATAATTCTTCTTCTCCATCAATTTTTTTCTTCATTTAATTTTCCTTTTCCGTAGGCAAAAGTTCAACAAAGAGAAAGAAATAAAAAGGATGTTAAACTTTGTTAGAGATTTAACTAAATACAAATGGGAAAATGACATTTTCATTTATATCAAAGAAATTCTAACAAAATTGCTTTAATTCACAAAGGAAATCGTTTTGCTTTCAAAAATTTTCCACCACTTAAAATAGGTAACAAGTAGAGAACAGGAAAAGTTTAATTGCTCGCAACAAAAAGCAATTTTCTCAGTAATTTACTCGTCAGTAATTGAGTTAAATTCATTTGGATCCTGGAAGCTCCCAATGAAATTGAGTGGGAAAATGTTTAAATTGTTCCAACTAGTCAATGACGATGAAGATGAGTCATTTAGTGATTGATACTTACGGCTCTGGTGTGTGCATCGGTGAATTTCCGTGACGTACATATTGTGTACTTTGGAAGACACGGAATGCCAATGAGGCAAGAAAATCACGAGAGGTCAATAAACCAGCAGCAGGGCGTAATGTAAAACCGGTATTTCTTCGCAAGAAATCATTCATTTCTTGCAATTGTGGAATACGATTTTCAACAAAAATCTTTTCTTTCTCAAGCTTAGCAAAGACTTGGTTGTATTCACGACAAGCGTGTTTGGGCATTAAATCTTTGACAACACGGAAAACTGATGACCAAGTATTGTTCTCTGTTTCTGTATATTCAATGAGAGGAATGGCATCACCACTGGAATCATAAATACAAAAGTGTTAAAAATGTTTACGATCCATTAAATATATTTCACTTACTACTTGTACGCAAACGCTACTTCAGCAATGTGCTTTCGGCGAAGACGATATTCTTTGTCGGCAAAACCAGGATGATTCATGTCTAAGTCAGGTTCATATTTAGTCATCAAATGGTTACAATCGTCAAGTTCTGATGCATGTTTGGGGAACCACGGAGCTTTGACACTTACGTCATTCTCTGAGAATAGCGAAACTCCACCGAATGCTGAAGATTGACGGAGTGAACGACATAATTGCAATAAAGCCGATCTTGTCATTTCTATTTTAATCAGAACATCAAACTGCACATTAGATTCACGTGATTGACGTGATTCCAAATGAATGACGGTTCCTTTAAACGTTTCAATTGCTTTCAAAATGCGGCCTAATGCACCCATTCCATCTCGTAAACGAACAACGAGGGCGGCTTTGATGATTGCATTAGCAGCTTCTTCTGACTGTGAAGCAGCATTTTGCAAAACCACTTCTTCTTCAGTCAAACCCGAGTCTATAAGTAGAAATAATAACAATGGATGAAGAGATTTTATTCCACTTGAATTAACTTGTGTCATTTGTTAAGTACGTGACTGAGTCCCTTTCATAAAGTGTGAAAAAAGATTAGGGAAAAGCATTTTCCACGCTTGAAAGACTTTCATAAGAGAATCAAATGTGGCCAAGAAAAAGCTAAAAGCATGTAAAAGAGAATTTCCATCGCTTACATTATTTTCTTGTACAAAAGGAAAATGATTTTCACTCAGTTCATATCTCATTTTCCTTGACTTTTCTTATGTTTCGCAACAGTGTAAATTATTTTTAAGACTTTTCATTCTATCGTAATTCGCAACAGTGCAGATTTATGGGCTTATACTCAATTCTTACTGAAATTAAATTCATTCCTTTATGATTTATAATTAAAATAGAAAAAAGTGGTTGAACTTTAATTCTTCTATCTCTTCATGTAATTCATGACGTAAGTGTAGAAATCTTAGACATCTGTACATGTCAGTTGAAATTATAATGAAATAAATCGACTGACAATGTCAATTTTTACAACTACTAAACATTGTAGAGTAGATTCTTCCTTGCTTTCAAGCTAATATAATAAAAATATTAAATTCTTCTACTTAACAAGTTTTCCTTCATATATGAAAATTAAACTTGTTTTATTACGATACGAAAGGAGATTGATAGCCTTTAATGGCAGATTAAACTGAAGTTATTCTTTTCAGAACTTACCATCATCACTTTTTTCTTCTTCTTTCTTTTCTTCCGGCTTCTTTTCATTCTGATGACCGTTGCTTGGTCCCTCTACTGGCTTTACGTAAACATCGTCTTCAACTAGTTTTCGCAAGACAAGTATTATAGCACAAAAAGCATAACATGCAATGAAAGAAATAATAATAATGACAATAATAAGCAAAACATATAACACTATGCCAATTAAGGAAATATCTTGTTAGAGACCAACCTTCAACATAGAATTCCTGTTCTTCAACTTCGGGTTGCTCTTGTTCCTCGTCATTCTCGGTGTTATTTTCACCATTTGGAATATCGAGTTCATTCTCAACTAGATTTATTTATTATCGTACAAAAATAAAAAGAAATAAAAATAATCAGACATGCAAGCAAATAATGAATTAAATTTATCTAAGCGGATTGATTCAAAACATTCATGAAATATCTAAGATTGAAGATCAAATAACTTGGAAGTTTTCTATAAATAGTTAAAGGAGTTCACTTTATTCAAGATTAAATGAACAATTAGAATTTATAAATAAAACTAAATCAATAAAAAACGAAAAATCCATTTCAATTTTAATGATTTCATTGTTTAATTAATTATTAATTGTGTCTTTCACGTGACATAAAAAACGTTTCTGACGGGGAATTTTTAAAGTGATCAGAACTTGAAATAAGAAAAAAAATTGTTCTATAGATTTATCTCGTTTTATGGCCTTCATATGTGGTATTGTTTTAGTGAACAAAATTAATTGAAAAATCAAAGTTCAATATGCATAAAAATTTAATTTCCTCCTTGTTTCCGTTTCAAACATCAACATGAATGAAACCGAATTGGAAAGAATAAGAAATGTGTTTGACATGGACACTTACCATTTGCCTTGAGGCGTGCTTCTTCAAGTACAGCTTGTTTTGTTTGTTTAACAACGGCACTCTCAAAGCGAGCATCATCTACCAACGAACGGCGTCGAGATGGATACCCGTTCTATAATGACATAAATTAAAAGGGATTAAGATTAATGTTTCGATCAACTAGACCCACTTTATCATGCACATTTATACATGTCTTCAGAATGTTTGTTTTCATTACATAAACTTCAAGATTTTTAACTGTGTAACATCAGTTAAAAAAGCTTCAAGATTTTTAATTGTATTCATATTCAAAAGTTTATGTTAAAAATTAACCAAAAGTAGAAATAAATCATTAGATATTAATTTCTGCAGAACCTTGAAAATTTTACAACATTAACAAACGAAATATGTAAGCTTAATAAATGAACTCTGAATAATAGAAGGGATATTAAAACATTGTTTCAATTGAATGAACTCTGGCTTTGACCAAGAAATAATGATTGCACGCTGCGCTTTTGACGAACTGTTGTAGATCAGTTTTCAATTCATTAACTTTTATTTCATAGCAACAATATGAATGTAGTGCAACAGGTGCTAGCTACTTCAAAATGATATTACTAAGTCAAGGTTATGAGAGCCTTCATTAAGTCAGACATATCGATAGACTTTAAATAAAAACTAAGCTCGTTGGGCGAGATAATTGAGAATTTCCCACAAAGTAAGGCTTTAGTCAGTATGAGAAGACGAAGCTTGAAATATGCAAATGATTTCAGCTGCTTAAACATGATCTTTGAGTTATGTAATTACCAAATTAACTTTTAAACTTTTTAATTGAATTCTCGTTATAAATGTGGCTTGGATATTTTTAACTTTAAAATTCATATGAATATGTACCAGAATGTGCCATGAATTTATGTTTTTCCACACCTGTGATTTTGTAGATAAACTCAAACATAAAATCGTTCATAGAACTGTATAATTGGCCTGTTGTTGACATTAATTGCTGTTGCAATAGTATGCATTCTTGTTCATTGATTTTTGCATTAGATTTGAAAAAGACACAAGAACATTGACAAGTATTTTCCTGGTATTTTTTAAATGCATTCACTCAAGTATGTGTCTGTCTCCGTGTGTTTTTTTTCTTATTTTTTTTAACTTGTCAATTACTAAAGAGTCAATTTTACCATTTAAAATCGTTCACCTATTAGTTTGTAAGTGGAAATAAAAAATCATTTAACTGGAACCAGCTAAGCTTTATGCAACAAATGTGCTGTTGTTCAATATATTATAATTTTAGTCACTTTTTTTTATTAAAACACGGATATCCTAGATTAGAATGGCTTTTCATATGGAATTAATGTAGATCAAATATTGAAGTTATTGAATTTTAACATTAAGTTAACGAGTGAAACTTTTTTGTGAAAGGAAATTTACGCTGGAATGATAAAAGCATGTTTAAGTACTTTTGTAACGCATTTGATGACATTTATTAGCATTATTTAATAAGAAAATATTATTGAACATCTGAATCCAGATCAGCTTCTCTGTGCAAAAAGTCACGTAGCCAACAAATAGCGAACAAATTCAGATTATGCGTAAAATTGTAAGAATCTGTAAATTTTCTGTTTGTAAGTCGAACTAGGCAGTTTACATCAATCTATCTTAAATATATTTTATGCAATTCATTACCACGAACGGAAACTTGAGTATTTTATATTTAACGATCATTGCCTGCAAAAATGAACTTATTGGACAGTAACAGCGGTTAAAATATTTCAATGTCAATAAAAATTACGCGAATTTATTCATTTTGTATCCATTTCTTTGAAGCAAGAAATTACAAACACTGAGCTTAAAAAAGCTCATTTTAGATTGAATTTTTGAGAACCAGAAACTTTCATTAACGATATAGAATTATTACAATTAATTAAACTATGTAAATAAAAAAATGTTTTTGTTTTTATTATGCTTTTAACATACCTCAATGCTGTATGATTTTTTGATCGCAAACATTTCACGATTTTTGGGAGCGGAGTGAGATGCAATTGAAACTGCCATCTTTGTGGTTATTAAGAAATTAGTCTTCTTATTGAGATTATTAAATTAACGGCAACAAGTTTTAAATAGGCGGAAAAGTATTCACTTCTTTCGTTCTAAATTTTGTTATCTTCAAGCTTATCAAACGACCACTGACTTTTAATCCTTTAGCCCGTTTGTCGAATAATATCAATCGAAATTTTCAAGCACTTTTAAATTGAAAACTCGTCAACTTAAATCACTTTCGTTATTTGAAATAAAGGAAGGGAAAACTACAAACAAAATTTATCCTAATTTTTCAAATGTAAACACTTTTTCTCCGCCTTTAGAAGCAGCACAAGCAAAATAATAAAAGTATATGATTATTTCGGCAGGTTTGCATGCCGCTTAAATACTGAACATCAGGCTGGGATGGTGAAGTCTCCAACATCGTATTTTATGTCTGTGTGCGTATCCACCTCTCCTCGACAATTCGCTATCAGCCGCATGTTTCTTCGTGTTTTCATTCTCATAAACAGAAAAAAGCTCTCAGTGTTGATAACCGCTCGCCAAGTATTTAGAAACTCACCATGTAGGAATTTCGCTTGTATTTGTGTTGAAGCTCAATAAAGAAAAAATCTTACAAAAACAAGAAATAAATTCTGCAATAATGGAAATCACAGAGATTGGTTTCGTTCTAGTGCCAATAAAATAAAAAAAACGTCATAAAAATATGGAAAATCTAAAATTCACCTGTTTGCATCTAGTTTTGAAAATGATTAAAAGAATTAATTATTTGCACTATTTTTTACATTAACTAATTTGCATATAATTTGTATATATTCTCAACCTGACCAGATGTCCTAAACAATATTCAGAATCAATCTGAATGAAATTAGATATATTGTGTTAATTTGTCAGAACATTTATTAAGTTGGTTGCATTTTACAATAGGAATGCTGTTCTCAATAACTTAATCTATTTGATATTTTCCCAGATTATTCATTTTTTTTTATTAATGACTGACAAGACAACAATTTGGTTTGGGGGAATACGCGAAGAAGGAATGACAAACATGACAGAAATTTATTCTAAAGCTTTATATTATGGTAAATAATCTTAAATATACAAATGCAAAAAATATTTTAGTTGCAAGAAATTCTTTTCAACAAAACTGTTTTCAAATCTTGTATGGAAAAACCAGAATTCAGAGGAAAAAACAAAAGAATTATGGTGAATAATCTTCGCATATCAGTCACTGTAAAGTTTATATCGTTCTTACAATGTTTGAATTTCTTGACCACAGCAATATCATAAATTGATCTTATGCTGAATACAGCACGTAACCCTTTTTACTACAAACACGATTTTGAATGTTTTATTATTAATTATTTTTGCAATATTTACTCATTCCCCTTCCTATTTTATTTTTCATTGAATTAGATATTATAGAATTTTGAAGCCTTGTTCAGTATGTCTCATTGATGTTCACAACTTTGTACAACCAGATAAAAAAATACGCTAATAAAATTAAATTTTATTCTGATTTTAGATTATAAATCGGCAGAGTAATTCTAATTAGATATTTAAGAGAACATAAATTAATTTCATAGATAAACTCAATCACAATCATGAAGTTCTCATTTATCATCTAAATGACATATTTACAATAACATTTCGATATTTCAATTGCTAATTTAATTTAATCGAATGTTTTTATCACGAGACTTGCAAAACTACTTTTTTTCTGGTAAGGTCACAGCAAGGAAGTTAAATAAATAGTTCCGAAGCTTACACCGTGAAGAAATGTTTACATTTAAGTGTCAAACTATTCACCTTTATACTTCATCGCTCAGTAATCAATTATCTAAAATTCCGGATATAATATTCCAGAATTTTCTCAAGTAAGGGCATATCAAAGAATAAATGAATAAAGAGTCATAGAATTAAAGAGGTGACTAATGATCAACAAGTCCATACAAACTGGTTTCTTACAACTCAAGTATCAATACTAATAGAGGAATTCTCTCCATTTGGGGATTTCCCATGTTTCGAAAGAAAGTTTTTAATTTCTTCGACTTAATCCTATGGAAAATACCATCGGCGCATGTATAAACAATTCTGATTTCTGGCGGAGTATTGCAAAATCCTCTAATATTTACCAAAATAGAACAAGTGAGAATAGTAAAGATTGCTGCATTTATCGATTAGTCGTTTTACGTAAATTGTGTTGAAATTAATCTTCAAAGATTAAATTCTATGCGAACAGTTCCTGGGCGCAAAATATTCCACAAACAATGACCCATTTCGAGAAATTGTCTTAAAACGATAGGAAAGCTTTTTCATCATGATCGTCACTTACATAACTATACAAAAAATCTAACAACAAGTGTCTGATTTTTTTCTGATTCCGTTGCATCGTTTGCATATTTATGTATTTATTTGAACTTTTCTTAAAGTTGCATTGGAATAAATTTTAATTAACTTTAAATTTTGAATAAGATGTGCTTTTGCTTATAAAATCACAAAACCAAGTCACCATGAGTTGAGGGCAATCATATAATAATAAATATTAACTTTGTTGTTATCAATTACTGACTCATCGTTTTATTGGACTTGAATTGTTAATCCTCTGTTATTGATTAAGCATTATTAGTATTTTAATTTTATGTAGTGCATAATACAAAAATATATTGTAAAAAGGTTGAAATAAGCTTTTATGAAACTAATGTTTTAAACTCTTTCATCGGATTGGTATTTGAACGGTGCTCATATAATTGTAACTTTGCAGAAAAAATATCAATAAATATCTACTTCACTTAACACGTACATATGTTAAGTGAGGGTTTTGCCCTTGAACTTAAAGTAGATAGTTACAGCGGATTGTTTTATAGTTTAAACTTATGCTCAATATTAAACACTTGATGACTCATAAAGTTTTACGGAAGTAATTCGAATCTTTCCTTAACTGAAACACAAAGAAGTTTCGTTAAACAGTAGCGAACGTTTTAATCTTTCATCAATTATTTTTGAGCTCATTGCGCTTTAAACGGCTCTGATCTAAATAGAAATATTGCTCATGTTTTTTATGTTTAATTGATTGGCAACAAATTTAATTCACTTATTTTCCATTCATGAATAAATTTTGTCCTTGACTAATATGCATGAATAGGTTTGTATTTTTAGAGATCAAGAGTCAAGACTTGACTTAAAGCTTAGCAAAAACATGAAACCAGTACTTGGTAAAATACTTATAGAACGGGGTTTATTTTGAAGGGCTGTCGGAAATAATGTTATGCCCTTCAATACTTAAGAGGTCAATGAACCTTTTTGGTTCTTAAACTTTGATTTTAAAATTTTTTTGAGTTTCGAAAACTCACTAGACCTGATTTTTTTTAAAATTTAATTACAGATTAGCTAATTAAATATTCGAAATGAATAGATCTAGACAACCCAGAGAATTGTAAGTTGACACGCGCAAGCTATAATTCATGTACAAGTAAATGTATAAACTAGCATCTGGCCACTTTTTATCGCTCAGTTTTCCTTTTGAAAAAATAATATTATGAACACAGAATTATGTGAACACAGAATATTTACGAGATTTTATTAATCTGAGGTTGAGAAAAAATGTAAAAAAACTACTGAGAAACTTATGAACTGATGGAAAAAAAATATAAATAAAAATATAATTTTTAAAGAGGATCTCAAACATCACAATTTGTATTTAAAAACTTTTCGCATATGATTATCGCAATAAGCGAAATATCTCTTTATTTAAACATACATAGTCTAAATTAAATTAATGTTAAATAAACTCAAGAGATAATTACTTTTTGACTAATTACAGTGGAACTTCGATAAGCTGATGCCTCAATAAACAAATATCCTCGATAAACTGATATTTTTTTGTCTCCCTTGAATCGAATTTCTATGAAAGATTGCCCCGATAAACTGATATTTTTTTGTCCCCCTTGAGATATCAGCTTATCGAAGTACCACTGTAATTGTAATTGATAAAGATTTTTGACAATGAAAGAAAATTAATTAGACAGGAAGAAAATGAATCTCGATTTTATATTTTCAGGCATGAATTAAAACGAAAAGAAATTAACGGGAGTAAACTTATTTAACTTATTAACAGGGTGAACTCTTCTTCTCTTTATTTCTTCGCTTAATTTGTGTACAATGAATAAATATTGGAATAAAGTTATAATAAATCTATAAAGAGTTAGTGTGACAGGAAAATTACAAGGCTTGAATTCAATCTTCTCTCGTGTCAAAAAGTTTTTGAGGATTGTTGTAAAATGTACATATTTAAAGTTTTCTGTGCTATCGTTAGCTTTGATCTGAAAGTTTACTTTAGTAGAAGGAAAAAAATGTGATTTCTGCAGTATGTACTTGCATATAAATTGTAAAACATGCTTTTGAACACGATTTTTGAAATAAACATTGAATAATTTCATATTATCTACTTATTTACCTCATTTAAATACAAGATAGATAATAACACAAAAGAGCCATTTATAGATAAAATTTCGTGATATGCCGGGCATAGAGACGTTAGAAAAATCAAACTATAAACAAATTATCAGATGAGTTGAGCTTAGAACTAGCAAACCTAATTTGTCCGTCAGAGCTCAATAACAGATTTGAGTTCAGGCCCTGATGATAACTAATGTAAATAATCTAAAACTTACATGCATATTGTGGCAACTTTAAATAGATACTTAGAATATTCGCTTGTTTTCAATCAGCAATTTGTGGTTTTGGGAACATACCACATAGTCGATTAGAATAGTTTCATGTTTTGTTAACTAGATTTTAACGTCCTTTTCTTCTTCGCCTGATTTAACAATCAGAAGGTTCGATAATATTTGATGTTTTAGTGGTTTGTTCAAAACATCATAAATAGAATAATAAAAAATAATGAGTACTGTCTGCTTAAAAAATTAAAATTCTAATTTTTTTAATTATTCTGATTGCTTGCTGATTTGTGGAATGCAAACAAGAATCTAACAATTCCGGATTTACATCATCTCAAATCTAAATGTAACAAAAATGTTGCGTAGGTTCCAAATCAACAGAAGCGAGTAATCTACAATTGATTCATCGTAATGATGTTAAACAATATTAAATACCCTATTATATAATAAGTATCTGAATCTAGATAGTAATTTTAATCTATAAAAAATTAAGTTTTTATAGACATAAATACTACCAGATATGTACCAGGTGCTCATTTTCAGCGCCTACATCCGTAATCTGTCACATTTGAACTTGAAATCTTTCAACCATTTTTTAACACATTATACATTATAATTATTGTTTAAATGATTCAAGCAGATATAAAGTTTTGATATTAATTATCATCAATAAAATGTAAATAAAATTGTAATTTTGTCATATGTATTAATAGTAATGACTAAATATATTTTGACGACATATCTGATTGACAGAGTGAAAGATAAACGTGATATAAACGTTACTTTTCTGTCGGTATTTAAAAGAGTTGTTCAGCTTAAGATTGGAACTTAATTTTGCTAATGAATAGTAAAAGAACAAGAAATAAATACAAAAGATTTAAAAAAAAAATCATAAATAAGAATCTACCCTAAATTAAAGAATTGTTCTTGTGGAAAAGTAAAAAAATGTATGACGTAAGAGGTTTTGAATTATATGTATATGACGTATGAAGAAATCAATTAAACATAGTGAATGGATTAAACCATAAACCATCAATATTTTTAAATTGACATTGAAATTCTTCTTAAGTTTTTTAATTTAAACGATTCCACACTCACATTTGTTTTCCTTCGATATCTACATTATTTATACAAAGATATCTAGATAATTAAAAGTATTTGTTTTGTTGCATCTCAAACATCCTGACAGTCTGATTTGTAAATTTAAAATGAAATTAATAGAAATGTAAATAAAAAATTTATTTCTAAAAATAATCATGAAACCGATTCTGTTGAGCCTTTGTTCATCTTCATTCTCATTAGGATAAAAAATTGATTTTTACTCTATTTTGATTGTCAATAAATTTAATTATTTTATAATACTTGGGAAAGATAATCTCAATTAATCAAATTAATACAATTGCTGACAAACAATGGAGGAATTTCCATATCGAAAAATTACATAGTCGGAAATGAATATTTATACCTAAATGAGTACATATTATTATAATAAAAATCTAAAGACACAATCACAGCATATGCAATGAAAACGCATATTTTCAAACTACATACCAAATTTCTATGTATTTCAGGATACCAATCACTGCTTTGAACTATCATGATTTTGATGATGTTGATTAAATGATGAATTAATAAATCAGATTTCCGTAATAGATGTTTAAGATATTCGTCCGAAAGTGACACCTTTAAAATTACTTTTTCACAGACAATTTTAAATGAAATCAGTGATCTGAGGAGATGAATCTAGAAAACTGAAGATTCTATCTGAAATTGTCACATGAAATTTTGATGAGTGTATTTAAAATAATACGAGTTTGAGATGTTTTACTAAGAGGGGGAAATTTGTTAAAAGTTTAGATTTATGTAGTGTAACAGAACCCGAATTTGGTTTTTTAAATTTTCATGTTTAATTTCAGACATAGATGGCGCAAGTTTACTATTCTTATTCTTGATCAATGATGCACAATTTTTTTTCAATAATAATGTTTTAATTCATCAGTTTTTACTAAATTACGTGCATGAAGAAACTTGAAATTCAGATAAAATTTGAAATGAAGTTTTGTAAATTTATATTTCATGAAATTTTAAGGCACTAAACATTTCACTTCATGTTATGTAGTTTTTCGTAGGCTTCACCTGTGGTGTAAAAAAATAAAAACATTAATCGGAAAACTTAATTTAATTGAGGATGATTCAAGTCCCAAAACAGTAAAAGATAAAAAGTAGTGAATAGGTCAGGCATCCCTAAAGTTGATGAGAAGTTGTTTCTTTTCTAAACTATCGGAAAAAGTTACATATTTTATGTATTTATATTTCGGTATGATGCAAAATGACTGAATTATCTTTAGAAGATAAAACTGCTCGTTTGATATAAAAAACACATATATAGAGCGCAAGAAAAGATTTGTGTATATATAGATAATATTAAAAAGTTCAAGGTAATTCAAAAAACCTTCAAATAGAAAACATTTTAATAATATTTCATGAAATTTCACCTAAAACTTGTAGTGGAAAATCGATATATTTATAAGAAGTGTCGGGTTTTAAAGTGCTGCGTATTTCCTTGTTTTGTAAGCTTTAAGTTATGCTCATCCATACGATTAAAATACAACGATGACCAAAAAGAAAAATAAAATCTGGTTTTCGTGAATGTATTTGTTGAATTTCATGACGTGATATTAGCATGATAATTTGCAAAAAAAAAATTAATGTCTTTCCTCAAGATCGAGTCAAGCAAACCACCGTTAGAGAGGTGGAAAATGAAACATGTTTTCAGCTAAAAATAAATAATAAAAGAGAAATATTGATACGAGTGAGCTCTTCCTCGATAGACGAATACATAATAAGACTTTTTAGGAATACAACGATGTAAACAAAATTCAGTGACGGTTTTCAATGCTTGGCCGCAGAAAGTGTAGAAAAAAGGTTTTTAATCGTGTTATACCCCATTCAGCTGTTAGTAATTTGTCCTTGAACTTAGTACAATTCGTCTCTGCTGTCTACGTAGCAAATGTACAAACATTTTCGTTTCGAACATGTAGAAAAAAAAACTGGGGGACAACTCAAATACATTTATCGTAGTCTTTTGAAAATATTAAAAATAAAGTAGAATTTAGTAGGTTGTGAAATGATGTTTAAAGTGTATTATTCCACAATCGTTTCAATCTGATTTGTATTCTCAACTCAGTATCAGGATTATTTTGAAAAGCAATTAAAATTTTGGGATGATGATAAACTTGTTTTATTTTTTCAGGACTGGTCGAATAATCATTTTTTCTTTTGTGGATTGTATTCGATTTTTTAAATTAACATATAAGATATAATCTGAAACTAGATATTAAATTACATTTAGGATGATTTCGCAGCCGATAGCATATCAATTAAACTACACGAGCGTAAAAGTTAACAAAAATATTGAATGGGTCAATCATTATTGAAAATGATGCTATTTAAAGCTAAAACCTTAAATCAGTCTACCTAAACTTTCTAAATTCTCATTTCTAACTATAAAAAAAATTACAAAATATGAAAATTTTAATAAATGTTCTTGAAATGCGCATATTTCCACGCGCTAACCCCTGGTGCTTAAGTCCCAGTGCTGGTCTGTTGGAAGGATGATTAACTTAATTTTAATGATAATATGTACGCAAAGCTTTTGATTATATCGAATCGCTCCATTCATAAGATTAAAGGGCGCACTAGCTTTTATCTAATTTCAAAAGCAATGGGAGAGGATATTCTATTTATAAATCTAAGCCAAATTATAAGAACTCAATCAGGTTATCAATAGAAATCACACTGATTCAAATTTCTTTGTCATCAGGATTTTATTCAGACAGTCATACTTAGGTGGTATGCAAGTTATATAATGTTGATCTTCTGAAAATATATCAGCCGATTTTAGTTATGTTATGTTAGTTATGCAATTCAATATTATTTGAAGTTTTTATGAAGAATATTGAAAATAGATGAACAAAGAAATGTTAAATTTTTAAATATCCTTCTAGAATTGTCTTAAAAATTTTTTTGTTCTATTTTGTAATCTATTCTATTTTGTAATATTCTTTTTGGAATATTGGAAAATAATAAAATAGAATTCCTGAAATAATTCACTCACAATAATCATGTTGATTACTTACATATATGATAACTGACAATATTTTCAACCTATAACTAGATAAAAATAAGAATAATTTCTACAAATTTCAACAATTTCTTCCTTTCTAGTTTCACCTTATTGACACATCAAAGATCCGAGGATTACCATTTAGGTAGTAAATATAATAATTAAAAAAGGTAGACTTATCATAATCTCAATGAGTGAAAAACTTTGAAATGGTGGGAAAAGAGAAGTCACTGTCTAAAGTGAAACGAAGTAGCAACCTGATGATTGATACTTCGAATGTGATTGTAAAACAAGAACATAACTTGTTATCACCTCAGTCAACGTCATCAGAACATTCGTCACTTGATGATAGAAATGCTCAAAATAATTCAGCTGGTGAAGATCAAGCAATAATCAAATATGAAGACGATTCAAATCTTGAAACCATGTCAAGCAACGACAAACCTGATCGGTGAGTTTTTATTTGTTACTTCCAAAAAGAAATATTCCAAATCAAAAAATCTATTTATTCTTGCTACTGACCACAATCAACAAATTTAAAAGCGTTCCAAAACAAAACCTAAAGTTTTTCGTTTGAGCGAATATGATTTTTTCGACCTACAAATTGAAAAGCACGATAACTCAAGAAAAGTGTGGATGTATCTGTAGTACAAAACTTTAAATGGTTTCGAATAAAATTGTTTACTATTTCTGGCAAGATAACTTTTTATCGAAGCTTTGTGTATCATGATAAAAAAATATTTAGATCTGGCTCTAATGTAAGCCACAATATTACGTAATAATTGTATTAATTCAGACATTCAGACTAACCCTTTATTATCGTAACATGAATATAATTAATTCCCTCGTTTTCGAATCTAAATTTTCTAGAAATCTAATCGACTTCAATGTTTTATTAAAAGCAATAAAATATAAAATCTCAACATTAAGCTCAGTTTTGAAAGACAAAACAAAAATTTTCGCGAAACTAAAATCTGAGAATAAATAGAGAGAATGATTTCTCATTAGAACGTTTTCTTCGCAGAAAGATCTCGTAAATATATTTGAATGTCTTAGTCATACTACCTCTGAATGATTGGATTTTTAATTTTGAACTAAGCTTTTCTTTGCGAATCAATGCTATTGTGAAATGTGATACAAAAACTGTCCATTAAAAACAATACAATCAATTAATTAACGATGGCCAAAAACAGCAGCAATGCGATTATCTATAGCTAATATGAAAAATAAAACCTGACAAAAGAAAAAGAATAAAAAAAGCTTTGAATGTGAAACTCGCGCACACACACAGACGCTTAGAGCAATTGCAAAAATATTTTTATGTACAAATACGAAAGCGTTTCGTGAGAACTCGTGAAAACTTTACTCACCAAACAACTTTGAGATATCTCAACAAAAAAATTTCTGTGTCGCAGTCGATACTTGTTTATCAAATCGTTCAGTTTAAATTCCGTTGAGAATTTTCTCTGAAATAGAAATTAAAATAATAACCTAATTATTATTAAGCCTTTACATAAACGAGTTTGAAAATTTAATTAAGTGCTTCATTTGTATTTCCTAACCATCGGATATTTTTGCAAAAAAGAGCCTTAAGAGAGAAAAAATATTTAGCAAAAAGAATTTATAATGAGCAAAAAAAAAATAGGAGAAAAAATTTATAAATAAAACGTCAAAGTGAATATCTATATGAAAAAAAGAGTCTCATTTGAATTGAAATTTATAATATATATTTATAAAGGAATAAAACTTGCCAACACAGCCATTAAGTATTAAATGTAGTACGAGCTATCCGTTTATAGTAAAATAAAAACAAAGTAAAAAAATATAAATAAATTTTAATATTTGTGTGGTTCAAAACAAAATTAAGAAGAAGAATCAAGAAAATACGAAATAAAAATCCAAATTTTCTTCCCTTTGAACCTGGTGAGCAGAGTGGAAATTTTCATTCAATTGAAGTCAAACAAACAAGACGTAAAGAATAATAAAATGATAAAAGTGATGTGGCTTAAGTGGGGAAGAGAAAACTGAGAATTGTAAAATGTGTAGTGTATAAAATTTTGTATTTTCTTAATAAAATTCTCTGAATGTGATGGGATTCAACTATACTCTTAAAATATTAAAATTTGCCTTTAAAATAATTGATACAGACAATGTTTAATATATATAAAACAACAAATCTAAGGCGTAAATAACAATAAAATACGGATGTGATTCGTTGAAAAATAGTTTCACGTGAAATAACATCAAATCCTTGATAATAGGAATTTATATTTTCAATGGAAATAATTAGAATGGATAAAACTTCTCATTTCACTTCAGGACCGAGTGCGGAACGCATTCATGAATTGAATTATGATTTCAGTGAAATCGATCGAAATGTATGTTCATCGGGAAGTTTAAGTGAGAAAGTTCAATCAAGAACGTATGTGAATGCTTCGAACGGTTACCAAGAAGTTCAGAGTAATGAGAATTTATCAAATTGGAAGTATGACCATATCGAATGTAAACAGGAAGCCAATGTGCCGACTTTTATAAATGATATGATTTCAAGTGATAATGGAAATTTGGGATTAGAAAATGAATTTAATGAGCCCTACCAGTATGAATGTAACTTAAGTGAACCTTTGTATACAAACGACGCAAGTAATAGCAACACATTGGACACACAGGCTCTTTACAAGCCACGAGTGGGACCATATCATATCACGTCATCCAAAAATCAGTTGCCTACTTGGTATGCACCTCCAGAGAACTTTTGTTTGCCACCATCAGATCTTAGCCAGTATCCCTTCCAACAAGGAAGTTTCCAGGGATCGCAGTCATCGTCAGTAATCGATCAAAATATGAGAAACATGATACACCTGACAAATAGGTACTGTTGTTGATTTATTTCGTATCTCTCAAAATCATAAATTACGACAGGCTTGCAAAATGAATGAAAACGTGCTTTAAATAACCTTCTAAGAGCGATTACGTATTCGCAAAATAAATACTTATCCCAAAACAGATCATCGTGAAAACAATTGAAGTGTCATCAATACAGTAGTAACTATTAAGTTATTTAATTGTACATTCCCTAAGTAGTCGTTTGTATATAAATTGGTCTTGTTATTTACAACGGCTATAAAAATGTTAAGATCATTTTCCACTATTATTTTAGTGATTGTTTCATTATGAATCAAAGTTTCAAATAAGTGTCACCTCACGTCATGATCAAGTAAGGATTCATACCTAAGAAGTAGTTAAATCCGATTCAAATCACTTAGTACAAATAGCTCGTCTTACATCAATAAATATCGATAACGTTGAACATATTGAAAGTACTATGGATAAAATACATGTAATGAGAAAACCCATTTATTGTAACAACATTTATTAAAGTGAATCGAGTAATTCTAATGCAACGAATGAATTGAACCCACAATCTTTTTGTTTCATTTACAACTCCTATTCTCAATTTAAGTTACAATCTTTTTAAAAATCATAGCAAATATTATAAATGAATGATCAATAAAAAGTTAAATTATTTTTTGCTAGTTTAGATGTGAAATAAAGGGCACGTACGATATGAGATCATCGAACACCTTAAAATGTATTTACAAACATAAATTAATACACTTAAATAGTTGTACATCTTCAGTCACTCAGCAATCTTCATTACAATCAAAAGAAAATAATTAACAAATATAAATGGTTAAAGTTCATGATCGATACAAATAAACAATTGTGATAAGCATTAATTAACGGGATAAAGCAGAGTTCAGATTTACGGATTGTAAGGATTCCTTGGGGTTAACATGTCTGAAAAAAGTCTTTAAAGTTTAAACATAAAAGTAAAGCAACCAGATATTCTTCAAAACTTCTTTTATCTGAAAGCTGCCAAACAGGATGTGTTCAAAATTCACAAAACGAGACTAAACTTTTTGGAAAATAATTTGAACATGGCCGCATGGCAACCGAAAGTCTTGCGCAATTCTCTCAAGACAGTGTAAAAGAAAACATTTACAAAAACTTTTCAAGTAAATATATGTGGATTGAAAATCCTCCCATTTAGATAAAAAAATATGCTGCAAATTAAGGAATCTTTCGACTGAATAAAAGTCTTATTGATGGTTTTATAATATTTATTTCCTCAAAATTACTACTAGAGACTCTGAAAATCCCTGGTTTTTGAAAAAGCAGGGATCAAGGAAAAGGGAAGGAGTAAATCCTAGGCATTCAATTAATAATAAAATTAATTGTGCTTCATTCATAGCTTTCTGTAGAAACCTAAGAGAAAACAAAAAAACATTCACAATTTTTCAATAACTACACCGATATCTTTTGTACAATTACGTGCGCATTAAGAATCTTTTACTTCATTGCAGTAGAATATTTTCCAGTTTACTTTAAGCGACACTAATGAGCGAAATATTGAAAAAATACTGAAGCTCGTAAATTGAAGAATTTATTGAATTTTCAGCATGACCCCATTCTGAAAAAAAATATCGAAATTATATTGTTTATTACGGCGTTTTTTTGATAAATGTTTTTCTGAGGGATTTGAGTATATTTGAACTTTTATTTCTATTTAAATTCTTTATAATATCTACCAATAACAGAACATACCAGAAGAATAATTTGATGAACCTATGAAGTGTCTTTCTCAGTAATTCTGATAAGCGAGAGGAAAGAAACTTGCCTCTCACAAATATGAGATGTAGCAAAGAGTCTTGAATGATTAAGTACTGACCTTCGAGTGGAAACAGTTTTTTTAATACACAAGTATAAGTTCATGAATTAATAAATTCATTTAGCTCTCTATACAGTTACAAGTTTTGAAAATGTTAACATCTACATAGGCGGCTTTTTCATGAACAAACGTCTAGAAATTAAATTTATTTAAACATCTTTAATAACAACTGATTTAATCGTAAAATTTAACGAGAATTTTTGGTTTCATAAGATTGACCACTTGTTGCACTCTTTAAACTCTTCCCGTTTTATATTTTTTCCCGAAATGTATTCATGAGTCGAGAAAGCTTTAAAAGCTCGGATATCTTCGGGTTACTTTTTATTTTGACAGATATCCAAAATAACTCGAGAACGGAAAGCTTATCCAGTGTTGTTTTCTCAACATGTGTTGGTGAATGAGAAGAACGAGCAACGTCACATGTTTTTATGTAGATACATATCAAAATTTTTACCTTGAGCTAAGTTATGCAATGGAATATTATGTGAAAAGCATTGGCACGAAATTCTATGCGACTGTATTGCCGGCTTTTTTTTTTGTTCATTTATTTATTTATTCCGCCCTATTTAATAAAACTTTTTATAGAAAAAATTTGTTTGTGTGCATGAAAATTTATAACCTGCACAATATTTTTTGTCGCGAGGTAAGAAGAATATATTTATGAATTGGTAAACCTTCTTTAATATTCAATTACCTGTAAGGAAATTAATTAGAATTAGATAGCCAAATTATAATATAAAGCACCCTAATTTCTCAAGGAACTTTTTCCAACTGGTAATTTCGAGATAAATGCTTGAATTGATTGGAAAGCAAATATTATCAAAAATATTGAACCATAGTTACGTTAAAGATTTTTATACATACCTTCTTTGCAAGTCTCTTTCTGAGTTTCGAGTTTCCATTATTGATTTCGAATAAATAAGTATCTAATATTTTTCTCTTTTAAAGCTTACTTTGAGTTTTCATCAGTTGGAAAATAAAATCGTTAGAAGTTCTTACAAGATTGTTTTATATATTCCCGATGTCAAATCATTCATTTTTCCAATAAAATTTAATATTTTTGATACAATTCGTGTCTGCACGAAAGAATAAGGGAAATATTTAGTTTAAGCCTTACGGTCTTTGATGAATGTAAATATTAATGTAAAATGGAAATCATTTCATCGTTCCTGAGCTTGAAAATATCGAAATATGTTATATTAATGATACATTTTTATATAAAATTTATAAATATTTACCACATTGAAGAATAATTTAATTGAAAATTAAATGGTTACTTTTGGGACTTCTCATCAAACACGAACATTTCTTCATTAAATATTGAGTATCAATTTCCTAGAATTCCCTCAAAAACTTTTTAAATCTCGAGACATGCGCTGATATTTTTCTAATGTAAACGAAAAATAAAAATGAAGGATCTATTTAAAGAATCAGAATATTTGTAAAGAATATCTAATTAAGTGAAATGTTCATTTCTAGTTCTTTCCATTAATCTTGCAAGTTGCACGTATCTACTTGTGTTTTAATTGAACAACAAATTAACTAATGATATTCTCTTTTGAATAACATCATAACATGTTATCACACAAATGAAATCCATATCGAGAACTTATTTTGACATCAATTATAATTTTGAGACAACAATCATAATATTTACTGAGTCTTTAATCTATGAAAGATCAAAATCATTTATACGGAAACCAAGAATCTTCTTTCAAAAATAACATTTGAATTAAACGCTTAGGAGAGATATCAAGATAGGTGGAAAAATGTAAATAAATGTTTAATATTATTCATATGAATTAGATTGAAAGAAAATAAGAAAACCTGCATAAAATTTCGTTGTTTATATACACTTTTGTGAAGATAAGAGGAAGTATGTGCCTAATCATTTAAAAACGCTTTTTGAAGTGATGATAAATGTTTAATTATGCTTGGAAAATTATTCAAAAAGAAAATTAAGACGCAATTGATTCTCAATTATGTTTATAGTATCAAATTTATGGTAATGTTCAATGTCTTATGGATTTCACAGCATCATAAGCGATAAGGAAAAAAGACATTTAAAAACATTGCATTGATGATTGAGAAAATCTTCTTCAAAACTTTGAGATTTATGAAAAATCAAAAAATTCTAATTTTATGCCCCAACATAATCGATGAAGCAAAAGAATTCTTCTAAAAAATATTATTTTGATTAAACAAAAGAAAAATTTAACAAAAACTTTGTCTATGATTTCCGAAATTTGTAGAAATAAAACGACAGAAGCAGAGTTCAGTTTGGGACGAGTTTGTTTTGTTTCAAACTTTGTTTTTGTTTGTGTTTTTTATCAAACTTTAATTAAAGAGATTCCTCATTATATCAAATTAAGCAGAATAAATTGAAATGGAAGGTTACCTAACTGCTTTAAACATTTGTTATTGTTCATCGGAAGCACGTTGCTTTCTTAACATTTTCAAATTATAATCGAACTAACACGAAGGCTTTCATTTATAGAAATGGTCGAGAGGCTCGCAATAGAGCTGAAAAGCATCGACGTGATAAGCTCAATGGATCCATTCAAGAACTATCATCAATGGTGCCACATGTCGCAGAGTCACCACGACGTGTCGACAAAACTGCTGTTCTTCGATTCTCTGCTCATGGATTAAGAATAGATTATGGTGAGTATAACTTTAAATGGTTTGATTTAATTATCTACTTTTATACAAAACAAGCGAATTCTTACTCCTACATTTTTGTGACGCTATTTATTGCATTTTCACACAATCATTGCCTAATGCAAATAATTTAATCAATTCTAAGGAAATTTGGAACTGTTCAAATTGTTTTTCTTTTTTTGTATAAATGTTTTTATGATTTGATTTTCTTTCCTCATTTAAGCGCAAAGTATAATTCTCAAATTATTTTTTCAATGGGAAACAGAAATCTTGACAACGCGTTGCAACGCATAAAACAACAAAACAATTTGAATTTCCCTATAATAAAATTCGGCGTTTTATTTATATCTTGAATAGGATATAAAATGTTGATTGTAGAACTTTGAAAATTAATTACATTTCTTTTTGCTTTAAATAACAATTTGAATTTCAGTTTTTGGCAATCAAAAGCCCAACCGATATATCATCAATCCAAAATCAACAGAAGGCTTAATGAAACTTCTGGACACTTTCCTTCTTTCTGTGACATGTCGAGGGAATATCGTTCTTGTGTCAAATAGCGTAGAGCAGTATCTTGGACACTGTAGGGTAAGTGTTTCAAGGCCGTTTCCAGGCGTTCGTTAATGAAATAGAATCCTTGAATTTTTTTTTTAAAACATCACGATTTGTTTGTGCTGAAATCAGAATTTCCATAGAGAATTGATAACAGCTATGGAAATGTGGGAAATTTTTGTTCAACAATTTACTGTAAATAAGTTAAACATCAATGTTATTTGTACTGGTAGCAGTCACGTCTTGTTGTTTGAAATTCCATTCGTTTTTTTTTTCATTCTCTCTATAGAAAATAAATATCTTAAAGCAAAAAAAATTCGTGATGCTTTAAAATAGAAAAGCTTGAAAGCTTTGGAACTTTTTAATATCTGAAATTCTTTTTTTTGCTTCCTTTTCACAGTCGGATTTATTCGGTCAAAGTTTACTTAACATAACTCATCCTGAAGACCACGCCTTTTTAAAGCAACAACTGATACCGACAGATTTGCATAATTTATTTGCAGCGAAAACTGATGAAAATGGTGAAATAAGATCACGAACACAAGAAGAGGAAGAAGAGATTGATAAGAAGCTGAGAGAAGATCGGAGAGATTTCACATTAAGGTGTGTAAAAAGAATAATTTCTCAAAATTAAATGAAATTTTAAAGAACAAAAATCTTAAAGACTTGCTCGAGCTGGGCCGCGTTCAGAGCCAACCGTTTATGAAATGGTCAGAATTGATGGTTGTTTTCGTCGAGCTGATCAAGCCCCCCGAGGAAGACCAAGTGCTGGGCCAACAGGTTTACAGTTGATAAGACGAGCTAGAGGGAGAGATGATAATATTCCACTTCACAGTATAAGTGGAAATGATATCGTAAGTCAATAAAAGGTCGAAGTTGATAAAATGTAAACAATTTGTTATCACAATTAGATTCTAATCGCAATGGCTCGTATAATCAAACCTCCAATGTTCTGTGATCGTCTTATAGAAGCCTGCCGCTATGAGTACAAAACACGACATCTTATCGATGGTCGTATCGTACAATGTGATCAGAGAATATCAATAGTTGCTGGCTATTTGATTGAAGAAATTTCTGGTCTTTCTCCTTTCACATTTATTCATAGAGATGATGTGCGATGGGTTATGGTTGCTTTAAGGCAGAGTAAGTGTTAAAATATTTGTCATATTCAACAACTTTATGATTATTTTATTATCACAAATATTTTAGTGTACGACTTTGGAAAACCTTACGGCGAATCATGTTACCGACTAATGTCACGTACCGGTCAATTCATCTATTTAAAGACTCGAGGTTGTTTGGAAGTTGACGCAAAGACTCGTCAAGTTCATTCTTTTGTTTGTGTCAATTCTCTTGTATCTGATGAAGAAGGTAAACGATTAGTGCGGGAGATGAAAAAGAAATTTTCGGCAATTATTAGTGAAGAAGAGTTAAGTGCAATGGAAAGTGATGTACCTGCTGTGGAGAATCCACAAAAGCTTGAACGAGCCATATTAAATTTAATAACAAATTTAAACAATGCAACATCATGTGATGATGACAACGTGTCGATGATAAGTGAATCAACAGTGGAAAATGAGGATAACACAAGACGAACACCATTGCCATTGGCAATTATTCCTCCCAAATCAAACACCATAAAATCATCAATTTTCAAAGCTGTAAATGTCATTGGACAAGCATTAAAAGGACAAAGTCCAACAATAAAAGACGAACCGAGAAGTCCAGAAACGCCTAGTCAAACAAATTATGCGTTTCATCATGATTCATCTCATCAAATCAATATCAAAAGTGAACCAGCATGCATTCTTTCTCCCACATCTTCATCGATGTCTTCTCTTGATTCTGATCTTTCTTCTCCCTTTTTATCATCATCTGGCAATATTCAACATCAAAGCGTCGTAACGACAAACGATAGAATTAATTCAAATAGTTTGAAAGCATCTGCGAATGATATAAAAAAATTAGATTACTTCTTACCTTATGATAACTTTTCGAACAGTAGTATCGATGCTACTCCAGCCATAAACACTCTCACGTCAACTGCTACAGAAACCAATATGAATAATAATAATAATGGTAACATAAATAGAAATTCTGTACTTAAACGAGTATATGCTAGCAGTGACAATGATGATGATTACAATGAACTGACAAAGAAACCTACACTAAGTCTTCACAGTGTGTTGGGAAGTTCTGCATCAGAAACTTCTGTTAAACCTTGTCTGGATATGCTTAATATGTCAGTCTGTGCAACAGGTAATGACTGACTTTCTTTCACTATGTTTAAAAACTTCATTTCTACATTTTATTAGATATTTCAGATGTTTTATCACCAACATTTCCTGATGACAGTCTCACAGAGCCATTTAATTGTGGCATTTCTCAAATTTTACAGAATTCCATCGAAACGTTGACGGTGAATATAACTCAAAACATTTTATTTCTGATCTTCTTCTATTTTTTTTATTCACTTTTCAGCCTGAGCAAGAAGAACAGCGTGAAATTTTAAATTCACTTCGTGAATCTTGTTCTGTGATAACAGCATCGTCGAAAAATTCACCAAATAGTAACTGCAAAAAAGATGACAGATAATAATGACTCCATGAGCTTTGATATGCTTTAAACACTTAAGATTAATCGAAAGCTTTACTTGACAACGATTTAACACAAACAGCAGCGTTTCAATGAAACGTAGCTAGAATAACAAGGAAGACTAGCGCAATGATTCTAAGTTTATTATAGATCTATAAAAAGTTGAAATTGAATTTCCATTTTTATCTTCAAATCTTCTTAACTAGTCAAAGCGCAGTGAAAGTAAAGATATTTATTATATAGGGAGAGAGTTATTAAGGCTTGTTTATTTGATGAAATACAAAATATATGAATATGTAGCACATGAGAAAAAGTTGAAACCAACGCCTAAGTAATCTATAATTAAACAATAGAAAATATCAGAAAGAAATATTTTAACATCTAATTTTTCCGCAATAAACATCAAAACTAAATATTGTCAAATCATTTACTTTATAAACACAAGAAAGGTCGATTAAAATCGCTTTGAAAACATCGATATGAATGAGAAAAAAATTCTCAATGACGGTTTGTGCCTAATAAATGAAATATAACGTTGATAGTACCAGGAATTGGAATTGAATCAACATTCTTCTTCTGTTTCATCTTAATCAAACTTTTAAGTTTAGCTTTTCGTCTTTCTTCGAATAAGAAACATTGAAAAGGTTTTAATTATCCTACATTAACTTTTAACAAGAGTGTTTAGTTAAAGAACATTTTTAAGTAATTTTAACTTCTTTTCTTACATTAATTTTCAACTTATCACCAACTTGTTATCTAGTTGGTCACAGGCAGTAGCTGGAAACTTTTTTTCAAGCGCTTGAAATTTTTATATCTAGTATAAGAAGGAAAAGTCGATGAATTCCAGCTTTTGTTGTGATTCCAAACCCTGGACATGTATTACAGATTACATCAGAAAAGTCTCTCCTATCGACATTGCAGAAACAATTTCAATTCTATAATGTGATTAAATCGATTTGTCAAGCTCTATCAATTTGATGAATGGCATCGTGAAAAAATGAAAACTTTAAAAAATTTAAAGTTTAACTGTACATATGAATTTTAATAGGTCAAAAGGAAAAGTTTGCAATTCATTTGCGTGCGTTTCCTAAATAATTGTGGGAAGAAAATTGTAGATTTTCGATCGTTGCAAAACGATAATCTGTGTAATCCTTAGATGTGGTATGGTAATGTGAATGTGTCAAAACAGAGTAGATAACTCTTTTAAAATTAGTTTATTTGATTCTCCTGTTTTTGATTTTACCAAGAATTTTCAAAGTTCTTAAAGATTCTATCAAAAATAGAAACGATTCATTGAAATTTTGTGCGGATCTCGATAAATCATTTCTTTCTTAAAAGTTTGATTTGATAAAGTTTTACTTGTAGTAGATTGGTAAAATTGACAATTTAGTTATAATACATAAAACCATAGGGAAGAAGAAGTTTTTGAAAAAGAGATAAAGCCTTTATTTTAATAAATTAGTAATTTCATGGATTGACTTTTATTGGTCCGAAAATACGCAAAATTTCAATTAATCATCTTCTTCGTTTAAAAGAAAATATACAATAAATATAATTAATTAAGTTACAGTTAATGAAAATGGGAAAATTTTAGTTTTTGTTAAAGATTATTTTTGTTTGTTACTAAAAAACTTATGTTCATACATTAATTTATTCTGTTATCAAAAACAAAAGAGAAAAGAGGAAAACACGAAGTAAAATTTAAAGGAAAAGAAATAAAACAATTCGTCTTAAAAATATTTTTTAGATAATTTTGCTTTTTATTTCAGGAAAATATTTTTTTCATACATTCAATTGGAAAATTTGAGCCATCAAGATTTGCTTTAGCATTTTCTTTGTCTTTGGCTTTTTGGAAAATGATCAATATACAAATTTATTCGGAAAATGAATGTTGAAAACATCGTTTTGCTTGATTTTTTTAATTCAGTAAAGTCAAAATTTAAGTCAAGTTTGGAAGTCAAGTAAAAGCTGAGCTAAACTAATTTTCTATTTAAGCTTGTCAGTTGAAAGTTTCTAAAGGTTATCGGAGACATTTTTCTCAAATTTATCGCAGAGTATATGTAAGCGTAATACGCTTTATGTTTTCTAGATACATTTATACGATTTTATATCTATTTTCCAATCCAAGATTGATAAACTTTTAATCATCTTTTCCATGATTAAATACTGATTGAAATAAAGTTTTCTTGCTTTTGTAAATAAATATTTCCAATTACAAATTTAATTCTCCATATATATGTCCTCAGTTGGATATGCGGTTTCAATAAACTTTTGATAAAACCGTTGAAAAGCACGTCTGGAAAATAAATTTTATTTCATTTCTTTTAAAAAGTGCTTCATAACAATTCTTACCCGACAGCCTCAGCAACAACACGTGTTGAATCATTTCCTACAAATACATGACATGCAAATCTTTGCATTGTTGGATGTTTTGTTATGAATCCAATGTAGCGATGATCTCGTGGGTGAAAAGCACAAAATGATACGTTTTTCAGCGAGTAAAAATAATCAATACAAGGGCCTCGTTCACGTTTTTTCTGAAAGAAAACAATAAAATTTAATTTGTCTTTGGAATGAACTGCAAAGTCAAAGTTTTTACCTTTGAACGATCAACCATTCTCAGTCCCTGGTCAGAAATTTCTAAAATGCACGGCGTACCTTTTGGTGTTGTTTCTCCTCCTTCTCCAACAATTTTTCTAACAGCTTGACAAACTACACCTGTACCTTTATGTGAAAGAGTTTCAACAGATCCTAAATAACCCAACAAATATCGTTCACGTTTCATCTCAACTGATGTTGGGTCAAAATCATTATATTCAAGATCTACAGCATAAGCTGATGGGAAAACTCCTTGATTGCCTAAAATTAACATTTTTTAAATAAATATTAATCAATTTGATTGATATAATTCATTACCTGTCCTTAAATTCACACCTTCGCACCATAAATCTTCAGCTTCTTTTTGTACATAAATTGGATCCCCAATTTCAATTTCTAACTCATCATGATGTCTGGGATGAAATTTATGAAGGCCACGATGAGTAGCTTCAAGCATTTCCAGTTGACTGAAAGGAACGCCACCAAATGCAGGTGGAAATGGTGAGTGTGGTGACGTTTGAGCGTTTGGTGGCGTGATACTTTTGAAGTCATTTGGCGAGTGAGCTGTGCTGTGGCCACTATCGACATCCCCCAAGCTATGCATGCGATCTGAATCTGGGCTTGAGTCTTCATCCAACAAATAGCTGCATTTAAATGCTAAAAGCGTATTTTGTTTGAAATGATGTTGATTTGCGATGCTACTTGCACTTCCCATTTCGTCTGCTAGTGATGTTTGATTGCTCATAATGTATGACAATGATGCTTAAATATAGAAAACAATTTAATCAACATTATAAATCAATTTGCTTTTCTAACTTACATTTTTTATTTTTGGGAATTTCTGGAAGTCTTCTTCTTCTACGTTCGGCTTGGTCGGGAATCCAAGGCAGAGAACTCGTTCTCGCCAACTGTGATGAATGCGTGCATAATTTTGTTATGTTTGAAGTTGCAGAATCAATGTGATGAATATTTTTATTATTGATTAATCCCATTCGTAATCCATCTCCGAGTTCATCATCCTCAGCTACGCTACTATTACTGCTGATATTTGCTATCGTAACATTTGTACATACTTGGGGTAATCGAGATGTGCTTATTATATGAACACCGATTTCATCAGGTTCACTTGCATCACTTTTTGAAGGCGATGGAGATGATATTACATCAAAATCAATATCGCTTACTAATCTGAAAGAAAATGAATGGAAAACATTCAGTTACGGAAAACCTTAAAGAAGTTTCTTCCTAAAATCTGTTATTCATTCTAAAATTTCTCATCTACGAGAAGAACTTTTATTTTTTCAAATGATTAAGTAAAAAAATGGTGGCGAATATTTTCTATGCATTTGCAAAATTTAAAAGATGAACCTACGAGTAGTAAGGAGATGGAACTGTTTTAATGCTTAAAGTTTGTTTAGAAAACTCTTCAAACTCTGGTTCTGCCATAATTTTTTAATAGTTTACGGCTTAAAACTAAAAAAAAATCCTTTTGCAAAACTAATAATTTTCACTTTGTCTCTTTTTGTAGAAACAAGAAGCACTTCCAATATTTACAAAGTTCCATAGAGTACTGAAAATGTGAGGGACACGTTATTGATTTTTCTTCCTTTCTAGCAGTTGATGTCGTCATAACTGCTTGAATAAACCCTTACGAGGAGTCAACTTTCCTTTCGGAAATGTTCGGTGTCTTGACTAAATTTTCCTTTAATTTTTCTCCTTCGAAATTTTCGAAAATCAAATCTTGATAAATTTTAAGCAACGGTTATACAAAATTTTCCATTTTCATCAAGTTTTCTTTTCCTTCATTTGCAAATTCAATTTTATCGATAAGTAGAATGACAGGAAGCGAATGTACATTGAAACTTATAAATAAAATATAAGAATATTATCTAAAACATTTTCTCCAATCCTTCTCTGACTTTGACCAAACGTTTATCGTAGAGCTACTTAAGGAAACTAATGTTCAGAATAAATACATATTTATCAAGGGTGTTTCTTCGTTCTTGTGCTTTTAAGCAAACTCTTACGTGAATGAAAGAAAATTTAATTTACAAACTCACATATCAGAAGATATTTTTCTTCCATAAAGAAGTAGTTTAATGTTGTATCTATACAAATAATATGAACAAAACGGCACTTGCAACAGATCATTAACTTGAGTCCTTTCATCAGCTTTTCTCCATCAGTACGGGTTTCCAATGCTGATAATTAATTCTGACAAAAGAACTCTTTACGTCATGCGGAAAAATCATCAAAGGATAAACTGATTTTTTTTTCGATTCAACATTTCAGTTTTAATTTTATTTGACCAACAACTGTTCTATAAATAAACGAGCGAAAAAGAGAGAAAAGCTAGAAATTTTCTTTTATTCAACAAATCTTGAATCGAGTCCGCATGATGTTTGCATAGGTGACAATGATAAAAGAAATTTTGTGTTTGTGAAACTAGGTTGAGTAGTGATTGGAGCAGTTAAAAACTTGGATAAACACTTAATGGTGTTTCAATTCATTCAACATTTATTTAGCTGCTTTTTTGTATTCTTCTTCATATAAGAAACACTTTTCATTGAAAATCAACTGGTTGTTAAAACAGACATTGATAGACGCAATCTCGTAGAACATTTCGAACATTTTTAAGAAAAGAAATAAATGCTGAAATATTCCTTTTCTTCTTCATTAATCAACAAATCTCATTCTTGCAACCTGGATTGAAAACTACATGATTCTACTATTATTGAGCCAATGAGATGAAAAGTTGATTTTCTGCTTTCCGCTTGCACTCCTACACACGCATGCACGCATACATAGAACTTTTATAAGCCGCGTTAACAACGTAAAAGTTGCATGAGGATCTCCAATGAGAGTGTGTGTGAATTTGTTTCTGGTAATTTATACATACCGACAGTTTCCATCCTTTTACGATGAAAGAAAATCTTATAAAAAGGCAATGACACACTCGCTTCGTCTTCAGTTCTCGTCTTGAATTTAACACCACTGTTCGATAAAATAAACGTTTGTGGAAAGTGAAATTGAAATGGATTAAAAGGTAGGGATTTATATCTTTTAAGTATCTAATAAATGATATTATGGATAAAACTCATAAAAACCAAGTATTTATGTGATGAAATCTATTGACAAGTGAATAAATGAATCATCAATGTTCGATGATAAACTTTTCCCATTAAAATTGTGGTTTGTTTAAAAGATTCCAGAGGGACATTTAAACAGTATCAAAGACGATTTTATCCGTTCATCTATATAATCGTTTAACGATTTTTATCATCAAGGAATATGTCAGCATCAGGAAAATCTCTTTTGGGACTTTGGTTGTATAGAAGTGGTGAACAGGAATGGGCTTTAAAAGAAGGAAGTCCGATACACAAGCCCAAAGATTTTATTGTAATTTCCTATTTAAATATTTTTTATTTTGGGATCTTAAAATAAATTAAAATAAGTAATTCGTTAGAAGGAAGAATCGCATGATGAAGCTATCTTACCAACTTCTGATCGAACTTCAATTATTTTCACTTTAAAACATCAAGTGGGTGCATTAGCACGAGCTCTACAAGTTTTTCAGGAGTTGGGAATAAATGTTCTTCACATAGAGCTTCATTCTGGAAATGAAAATGAAATTGTAAGTCCAATTAACTTTCATAATAAAAATAATCGACATGCGTCTTTAAATTTAAAAAAAAGAAATTTTGATGGGAAATTGATTCATTTTCATTAATTCAGGCAGATGTGCTTGTCGATATTGAATGTGATTCAAAACATTTAGATCATGTTGTTCGAATGCTGAAGCGAGAAGTTCAATCAGTTAATTATGCAACAGTTGTCACGAGTGATGATTTTCCTCCACCAACTCCATTATCTAAATGTAGCAGTTTTGATTTTGGGGAATCAATTTGGTTTCCTCGAAAAATATCTGATTTAGATCGAGCTCAAAATGTTCTAATGTATGGCTCGGCACTCGATGCAGACCATCCCGGGTTTCGTGACCCCGTGTATAGGAAGAGACGGGAACAGTTTGCAGCAATTGCCAATGCATATAAACAGTGAGAATAAGAAATTCAATTGTTTAAATGTAATTTAACTAATTGATTCTTATTTTCCGCAGTGGATCTCCAATTCCTAAAATTCAATATACGGCTGAAGAAATACGAACATGGTAGTTGATTTATGTTTATTAGATTTCTATTCAATTCAGTTGCAATCATTAAAATGCTATTCATGAGTTTATTATGCTAACAAAACAAAAAACATTGAATTTATCTCTTTAGAGAAAATATTTTCTGTTAAATTCATAATTTTTATGTTTTCTAATCATATTTCATCACTTCTTTAAAAAAAATAAAATAGAAGAGTTAAAAATTTACACTTTCAATGAATAAACATTTAAATTTTTCCACTTCCACTCTCTTTTATTATCATTTAGGGGTGTGGTTTTCCGTGAGCTTCATAAGCTTTACATAAAACATGCTGTTCCAGAGTATATGGAAAATTGGCCACAACTTGTAAAATATTGCGGATATCGAGAAGATAATTTGCCACAATTGCAAGATATTAACGTTTTTCTTAAACGCAAAACCGGATTTCAATTGAGACCAGTAGCTGGCTATTTATCACCTCGTGATTTTCTATCTGGTTTAGCTTTTCGCGTTTTTCATTGTACGCAATATGTTCGACAGTAAGAATTTTTTTATCTGAATTTTATTGAATTTTTCTAGCTTTTTTTCATTCATTAGCTCTTCAGATCCATTTTATACTCCAGAACCTGATTGTTGTCATGAACTTCTGGGTCACATGCCGTTGTTAGCAAATTCATCGTTTGCTCAATTTTCGCAAGAAATTGGTTTAGCTTCTTTAGGGGCGTCTGATGAAGATATCAGCAAGCTAGCAACCGTAAACAACATCAATTCCAACAATTAAAAATATAATTTTTAAATATTTTTCCTTTTTCCTAGCTTTATTTTTTTACAGTCGAGTTTGGATTATGTAAGCAAAGTGACGGATCGTTTAAAGTTTTTGGTGCTGGGCTGTTGTCTTCTGTTGCTGAACTAAAACATGCCATTACGACTAAAGAAAAAATTAAGAAGTTTGATCCTGATGTAACATGTGACGAAGAATGCATCATCACATCTTATCAGAATGCATATTACTATACTGATTCATTCGATGAAGCAAAAGAAAAAATGCGTTCGTTTGCTGAGACCATAAAACGACCATTTATGGTTCGATACAATCCATACACTCAATCAGTAGAAGTTTTAAGCAATGCAAAAAAAATTACAGCTGTTATGAGTGAACTTCGTGGGGATTTGAGCATCGTTTCGTCAGCTTTAAGAAAGATATCAGCTTTGGATGAAACGCTTGATGTCGAAACGCTCTCAGGATTATTATTGCAAGGAATTCAAGTAAGTTAAGTTGTTGTTAAATTTTAAATAAATTATTTCTTTTCATTTCTCATTTTAAGCTTCCTGATAAAAGTCCAGTCTCTGAAAATTCTGATAACTCACAGAAAAGTCAGTAAAACATGTTTCAGATAAATTTGATCATTATACCTTCCAATTGAAAAGTTAATAATGTCTGTTCAGAAATATTTATTGCAATGAATGTTATAAATGTACATTTAAAGAATTCATATGATAATCTAATAAATATTTGATCCATCAGGCATTGAAAAAAGAGGTTTTGAATTAAGGATTTCGAGAAAAATATAAATATAATTAAATAGAATGTTGAAAGGGACAAATATTTTCATTTCAGATGTTTTCGTCATTAACCCCTCCACATTATGAGTTGAGGTTCTCAATACCAGCATGTTTATACGTAACAAGCAATGCTTGCCATAAAACTTTAAAAGTATTTAGTAACCATAGAAACTGAAACATAACTAACATTTCTCGATCATTTTTTTATTTAAAACATTGTATAATAATGGAGAAAATTAAATCAAATGAACAATTTTCAGGAATTTATCGATCTAGTGATGATATAGAAAATTTTTGTTTAAGGTAATTAAACAAGTTGCCATAAAATTAATGAAAAATTAAAATTGATTTCGTTTTAGAATCACTTTGAAAAAAATATATTCAATAATAAGAGTACCAAAGTTTGAATCAACTCAAACAAGTTTTGAAGATCAGCAATCAACAACAGACTTTGAAGAAGTATTGTCAGTGAATTGGCAACAGAAAGTTTTCAGCAAAACTGAAAAAGCTTTTTATTCTCAAAAAGAAAATTGTACAACTGATCTTGCGAAGCGTTATCATCAAATCATCAAAGATTCGAGAGGAAATGACAGTAATAATTTACTTTTTACTTACATTGATCAAGATAACTACGAGCCAGCAGATAAATTTGGTTCTCAAAATATAACAAGACCAAAAATTAAACGAAATCCTAGCCGAAGCTTCTTACAAGCTAACGAAAAAAATCGAAGCTTATTTCTTGATCATAATCAAGCAAATGATTCAAAAGAATTTGAAACTGAGAAAGATTTTGTCAAAATGTTTGTTATGGCGGATCTTGATCCAAGTACACTTCTCGTTTCGATAAAATATCGAAAATCTGACGGACTTCTTATCATATTTCCTGATTTCAATGATTTAAGCAATGGATACTATTTGGAAATCGACCAGAATAGCAAGCAAATGTTTGTATATTTTATTGAGAACTTATCGTTATCTTCAAACAATGTCACAAATCAACGTGTCTTAAAAGTTGAAATGAACAAACTTCATAAAGAAACCAATGAGCTGATTCAAAAACTCAGCGTATCAAGGAATGAAAACTTTGAGCTGCCCAAATTTGGAAGGGTTGTCATAATGTTGGAAATCATAAAAGGTCTTAACTTTGAATTTGACAACATTCATGTTCGATTTAAATTTGAGATTCCAAAATGGTTGAAAGTAATCGAAGGAAGTTTAAGTGCTTCAACGCATTCAAGTTTTCGCAAAGGAGAATGTTGGAATTTTGGTTATTGTCATTCTCTTGTATTGGATTTTGATGATGAATTTGTATTATCTAAATCTGAAGTTGAAATTCTTAATTTGACTTTTGAATTGATATCGATTGATCCACTATTGGGAAGAGAACGGCGAGAAGGGATCACATCCATAAAGATTCCTTTAACAACACCATTGAATGAAAATTATTACACACTAACTTGCTTTCGGGATATTCAAGGAAACAGTAAACTTACTGATTTCTTTGAAAGATTTTTTCTTGGAGGAATCCATAAAATTTTAGATAAAACTCTAATGTCGAGTCCAATTGACAAAGTTGTTAATTATTACGGCAATCAAACAATTTCTACTGGTGAACTTTGTATTAAAATCCAAAAAATCGAACAATTGCGATCATCAAAAAGAAGTAAATCACACTTTGAAACAATTGATAAGATTATAAATTCTTATCACGAAGCAAAAGCTCAACTAGAAAAATGAAATTTAAACTAAGAATAGAAAATAAAAATAAATCTTAACTGAAAATCTCAACTCTTGTTTTCAATCGTATCAATATTGGCTGCATTATATTTAATAACCTGCCTATTCCATCATAAACGTATAATCAATAATAATAACGTTTAATAAAAATGACTAGAACTTTATCATTTGTAATGTTTACTGATTTATAAAGAAAACAATGTTGATTTTAATATTAATGAACAATTTGTTTCCTTTAAAGCTCTTGGGTTTAAAAAACAGTTGCGTAACGATTCAAAAGGGTTCAATAAAGCTTTTGGGTTCAAAAACAGTTGCGTAACGATTAAAAAGGGTTCAAAAATGCATCACTGCGGCGGGGCAAGAAGTTTTCAAATGTTACTTATAATTTTAAGGTTATAAGCCAAATGAAATAAAAAAATATTTATTTAGTGGAAATACCTTCATAAAAAGTATGGCTAAAGAACTGAATAAAACTGAACTGATTGATGAACTTAATGATATAAAAGAATGTATAGAAGCCATTTTAGACTCATGGAATAAAAAATTTTCAATAAAACTATTAGAAGATGAATTCAACAGAATTACGCTTAAGCCACTGGACTTCAACGTGAATATATCTATGTGTATGTACACCTATAATTACAATTCTATCTACTTTATGTTATTCTAGGTGTTTGATGTTGAAAATTTTTCACAACTTGTAAATGGATTTGAATCAAGCTTCATTTCTAACAATACTGAACAAACTAAAAATCATTCTCTGAAGTTCCATAAAGAAGAACAAATCTTTTTCAAGGGTAACAGCTTCAATAAGAAAATGGTTAAAGCTCAGAAGATAACAAATAATTCAAGGTAAAATAATTATTGTGATTTGAAATTCAATACTTTAAGATAAATTTTTAGATTCAATGAGAGTTTCTCGGTTAATCCATTTTTCAAAAGTAAAGAAAATAAGAATGAGAATTCACAGGAGCATTCATATGGAACAGTTTTGAATTCATTGTTTAATGAATCGATTGATAAACTGAGAAAATCAGTTTCAAGTGAGATGCTTTTAAACTCCATATCAACAGAAGACGCTTCATCAACTACGAATTTTGATGATTTTATTGCTGGCCATTTTATTTCATCTACTCCTATTCCATTTGAAGTTGAAAAGAACCATTTACTAACTAAAGAAATTGACAAACAAAATTTTAATCATCATGAATACAACAACACGAGCTTTGATGTTTTTCTGAAAGATAAAAAACATTTAAATGATGAAAAAATCGTGTTTTCTTCGACAAATCCATTTGCTCCCAGTAATATGCTATCCTATGATGATGGTTCAATTAAGGAAACTTCTGCTACTAGTGAGTGTAAACTTTTTGGATTATTGCAAAATAAAGAGGATAATGAGTTGATTCACAGTGACGGACATGAAACGAAATTTGAGTCTTGTGAAATGTCATCAAAAGAAATTGACGACTCATCAAATAATTCACAAACTTATATAACGCAGATAGCAAAAATCTTGAACACTCTTTCCATTGACAGTAAATTCTTTTTAGTAAATTATCCGGATGTTAACAGCGATCCCAATCTGAAAATCAACGTAAGGGATATCAAAGGAACCGAAATAAAAATTTATATTTGTGAAGTTTATTCACTAATTCAGTTTTGGTTTCATCACGGTGAAGAAGTTATTGATCTCATGGAAAGAATGAACGAAGATTATTATGGACGTCGATTAGATGAACGAACGCTTGCAATTAGTGACGCAAATATCACACCGGGATTGATTGTTGCTTGTGAAATTATTTCATATGGTGGTTGGCATCGGGCAAAAGTAATAAACAATGTAGATGAAAACGGATTTGTTCGCATATTTTGTTTAGATTATGGAACAGTCTTGACCGTACCTAAGAAAGATATAAAATTTCTTTTCCTAATCTATATGGATTACCCGCAGTATTGCTATCGAGGACGAATTACAAATATAAAACCATTAGATGGGAATGAAATATTTGAAAAGAATCATGTTAAAAACTTTACAAAAAAGTTTACAAACAAATTGCTAGATGCGAAGGTGCTAAATTTTGACATATTAAAAAATGTATACGAACTTGATCTTAGTCTTTGTGATGCCTCAGGAAAAAACGAAAACCTAAGAAATTGGATAGTTAAAAGTGGGTTTGGTATTTATTTTAATTCGTCAGACAAAAAGGACCAAGTCGAATATGAGCCGCCAAGTTTTTCTATGCTTGAAAGCAATCATCCGGCTTTAGAAGAACAATTGGATATTCAAAAATAATTTTCTACATTTTTCTACATTTTGGTTTTATTCGATGGAAATCGAAATTTAATCAATTTACATAATGAAAGAGACAGAAAATGTCTCATAAAAATAAAACGTTTATAAATTTTAAAATTTAAAGCCTCTAGTATTAAAATATAGATGGCTCTACTGATTGAATACTTATGTTTAAAAATGTTTATTTTCAAAAATCTTTCTGAAATATGTAATTAATTATAAATGAATTAATTGAAAACGCTGATAATGAAATCCTTGAATTTAAATCAAAACTTTCTTATGAAAACATTTATAAAGACAATTTCTAGTTAGATAAACCTTTTTGTGACTGATAAACATATTTTAAAATAAACATTACATTTAGGTACTTTGATAACAGTGATTACATTAACTTGGTGAACAATAAAAGTAGAAACTAATTCTTTTCTATTTCCTTTTAACATTTTCAACATGCCTAGATTTCTTATAATAATTTATGCTGAAAACGATACATATGATATGTATGTTTGCACAAATATATTTGCTATTGAAATGCTTGAAGAGATGAAAAGAATGGAAAATAAAAAATCATCGCTAAAGCTCGCGAAAACGAATATCTACAAAAAAATGTTTTTTTTCGTTTGTTTTACGCGGGCTTTCTTGCTCGCAAATATGGAAACGGAAAAAAGTGTGAGTCGGTCTCTACATCTGCTTTTGTCTCTGCATCTACTATAGATAAAAATGTTCATTTTTCTCCATGAAAGAGTTGGTTTGATGCTGCATATTCATAAAACAGTAGCGAAAGGGAAAAAGAATTATCAAAAAAAAAAACTGTACACGTATGAAAAATAGGCTCTCGAACCATTTCTTTATTTTTTTCAAACACCACCCCTCAGCAATATTGCACCATCAGTCTCCCGACGCTATGCGAACATTCAAACGACGATTTTGGGTAGGAAAATCAGAACAACAGAGAAGAAAAAAAATCTACAATATAATTTTCCAAATACATTCTGCAAGAGAAATTTGAAAATGATTCTCGCGTGAAAATTGCCGACTGAACAGATATCAGACACATGGACTTTGCTAGAGAAGACAAGATTTTGACCAATTCTTCTATAAATTGCCAACCGTTCTCGCAAAAGTCTGAGTCCCTGCGTAAAATCGGTCTGCATACTGGACATTACAATTTGGCCAACAGCTACGAATCGATTCTTTTGCATATTTTTATTGCTGCTACATCGTCATCTGACAAAAAAGAATCACACGCAGAAAGACCAGAAAAAGGTAAAGGGAGGGAAAGGAGCCAAGTGAAAAATGTAATATGCATGTACATATTCAAACTCTCTCTCTGCGTTCGCGAGTTCCCCACTTGAAACAGAAAAGAATATTTGTATGTATATATTTTCGGTTGATTCGTGAAGGCCTTTTCTTCTTTAATATCATCAATAAATGATACAGGGTAAGCAAAATTTAGAAATGAGAAAGTTGTTCTACTGAAGATAATAAGAAGTTTATTATATTTGCATAGAGTTGAATTCCATAAAATAATGTAATTTTAATTTTCTGATAGCTGAGAAGAAAAACTTTATTAAGTTTTCTAAATACTAAATACTTTTCCGCGGACTGAAGCAGCATTTCATTTTATGCTTTTATCCGGTGGCAATATCGAAGCGAAGTTTTCATATATGCTTGCGATGTTGTTTATGGAGAAAAACTGAAATTCATTTATTACCAAAACGTAAAGGCATCAGGCAGTGAGTATGAAAAATATTGTACACATTTTTTCTACTCTTGCTCCACCCGCCAACCTCGTTCTGATGTTTAACACACATAGGACGACAGAAGAGTCCAACGAGGACAGTGTTCTGCTAAAAAAAATTATGCTAGAGAAAAATGTAGAGAAAACGGCCGAGTTACGAGGCGGCTGTTGGCGATTTCTGTAAAAAAAAATTCTGCGTAAAAAGGTCTAAGAGTGAGCTGACGGGTGCTCCAAAGCAAAGAGAAAAAAATCAAATTGGACATAAATTGAAGAGGAGAAAAAGGGTATCTGCAAGCTCTTTTTGCAATTTTAAAGCATTGGCGAGTCGAGAGCGGAAAAAAATGTTGATAATCAAAAGTGGTGGAAGAGTATGAGAAATGGAAAAGGAGTTGGACGAGCAATTCACTGCCACCCTCTATCGTTGATCTAAACGAAAATGAATGCGGGAGTTGGTGGAAAGTGGAAAAGGAAAACTCGCGAGGCGCAGAGAAAAATGTATGATGAAATTAAAAAAATATATAGAAAGCGAGTAAAAGGGGTTGCAGGCAAGAATAAAAAAAAAAGAATATACAACAGAAATGTAGATGATGCATACATTCTGGATATTTTTAATTTCTCGATGCTTTTTCTCGCGCACGATATAAAAAATGTTGGGGACGAATGTTGCATGCTTTTTATTTCTAACATTCAGATCGATATTTACAGTAAAAAAGCAAGAGCAATTCTTAATTTAATTCTTATATATTTTCAACAAACTTTTATGATTGCTTGGAAATGTAGCATTCAAAATATTTACAACATTATTCAACTCTTCTAACTCTTCTTAGAGGAGACTGAAGGAAATTATTTAACATTTAATTAGTAACACTCGGCCATTTCTTTGCTTCATGTTATTCACAAATGTTTTACGAAGAGTTCTCCACTTCATGTTATTCACATAAAAAATGACATCCACATTACTATCCCGTAATAACTCGAAAATATTCTTAAAAGAAATCTCCTCTGACTTTCAGTTGCTAACAAATATTAATTATAATTCATTGAATTTTTCAAAACATGTACATAATTATTATAGCCAATAAGTATGCGAATATTTCTCTTCATAGATTTAGTTATGTTTGTATTAATATGAAAGCTGAAATGATCTTTTTTTTTATTTTGAAATATCCACAATTTATAATCATGAAGTAAATTTGAACCAGCCTTTATGTACATACATACACACAATTCTAACTTTTATAATGGCTAACAACATATTTTTTTATTTGAAAAGTCGTTGAGTAAATAAAAATATTTCTCGTTACAAGTTTTTTTTTTCATATCTAAAAAATTTCTCTTGATGCTTGTTCTGAAACATTTTCCAATTATTTTAGATTTTTGTTCACTTCTCTGAGACTATTTGAGTTTGCAATGCAAAATTTCCTACAAAGGGAATATTGTGTATAAAAATAAGCAACAATGGCGAGCGTTTTTTAATTTATTCTTGTTTAAAGGCACTTGGCGAAATTACCATACATCATTGATTTTTTTGTGGGCAAGCTTCCTTCAATTATTCTTTTTCATCAGAATTTCTTGTAGCTAATGATAGGCGAACGGTTAGAGTTTTTTGTTTTTAAATGGGAAATTTTTACATTCAAAAAATTATGTATAGCAAGTCCGAATTATAAAATTCGCGAATAATTTAGCATTCCTCAAGGGGATTCTCAAATAGTTCTTATTCAATATTATTACTTTGATTATATATTATTTATAAAAACCCAGAAAGAAATTTGTTTATACGCTTAAATCGGGATAAAAATAAGGATCAACGAATAACAAATTCCTGCCTCTTATTGGGAATTTAATATTAAAGACTGTTTCAGTTTGAAACTTCCAAGTTGAAAGCAAGTTTGCATATCAAATCATTTATCATCATACCAATTTTGTATGCTGTGCTTCACTTCTGCCACCCGTTTCCTTTTATTTTAACTAAATTGAGGCTTTTATCACGATTTTCTGCATTTATTCATTTCTTCATGATAAAAAAATCAGTAGCTACACTTCATTGGCTATCTCGAATCTGTATCAATACAATGAGGCCGTTGCAACAAAAAGTCGCAAAAACTTGGGGCGTGATTAACATTAACTTAAAATAATAATAAAAATTTATTGAGGCCATGTTTGGGCCTTGACAAAATAATAATTTTGTTTTAAATTTTGCAAGATATAAATGTAAATCTGAAATTATTGAAAGTCTTTTTTAATATTTATTAACATATCATTAAACTCTCCTAAATAAACAACAAAACACAATATAGTTCACAGTTTAACAACTATAAACTGAATTATTCTATTATTAATTATAATAACATGTTGTTGCAAGTTGAAATAAAATAAAATCAAGTTTAGGTTTCAAGCAATTTACTAACTAATAATAAATAAAAGTGTAACAAGTTTTATTCAGTAACTTTTACATTTACTTATCTAACAATTTCATTAAAGCATTCAAAGACGCGATGTAATCATTAAAATATAAGCATTATACCTACGAGATATCGTTCTTATATTTGATCTTTGTTTCGAAGTCTGTTTTATTATGGATCATTTTTAATATGCAAAATGATCGTTAAAGTCTACTCGTACAAAATAACATCGATTTTTTATTACTCTTGCGATGGCCAGATCAACGAATGCAGTTTCAATAATAAATTTAATCGCTAAATCATGTAAAAAACAAAACAATTGTTGATTTCTTCGTTTACCAATCTAAAATTAACATAAAGCTTGATAGCGTTTGATACTCAATATTAATATTTAGTTGTGTTATTAACATATTGTTAACAATTTTTTAAAAAAACTGAATTGAATAAATGTGATTTGTTGTAATAACTTCATGAAAAAACTTATATAGCTTCTGTTAAGTTGTTTGAAGGGAACAGTAAAATTTTATATTGGCAAGAAACTCAGAAGTAATCACGATTTTCATGAGCTTCGTGTGCGATCTCTGCTTTCTTTCGTTTTGATTTGCATTGATTTTTGCAGTTTAACATCATGTTCATGTCTTACGATGTTTTGAGAGCCTCAAAGCATTCCTTTAGTTTTAAGAGGAAGCGTTCGAGAAAATGTATTTTCGTCAATTTTATGTTTTATTGTTCATTGTTCCTCTAGAGAATTATAGTGATGACTTTATCAGTGAAGCAAGTGCAACAGTTGGTTTGCCATTCAACACCTAGTTTGTAATACACGATAAAAAGTGTGAATGCATTTTATTGCATTCTGATCAACATAACACCAGCTATACCATATATTGCGGCTATCACGTAAATTCATCAAAGTTGACGCAAATGAATTGATCGCAGATAATTCTGTCAGGCGTCTGATTTTCACATGTGCTCCCTGCGCGCAATTTACATTATCCCGTGCTGATTCCTAAATGAAATGCACCATTGATATCAGTGCATTAAACTAATTGATTTTAATTGTTTATTTGTAAATATAAAAGCTCTTTTAGTGCGGGGTGACAAACGAGAATTAACACAAAAATCACTGTTCGACAGGGTTGAGGCCAATTTTCAAAGTGAATTGCATTGGGGGAGTATAACATATTTCATTTCTTTTTTCACAGCTTTTTTTGCGTGTTTTACCAAAATTATTTTTTACCACAAAAATGAGTGGAAACTTTTGTGGTAAATGAATGGTTGTAAATTTTAAAATGTATTAAATCTGTAAAAGTTATTGTGGCAGTTTTTTTGTTGCGATATATTTTCATGTTGCATCTCGCGGCTTGCATTTTGAACATCAATTGTATGCTGAACAATATCACGAGGCAAATTTCGCAAAAAGTAAAACAAGCACATGAAATAGCGACAAACAAACGGTGAATCGAGAGAAATAGTAAAAAGTTCAGTAGGAGGAATGACGTTTGGGGAGCGAAAAAAACAAAAAATCAAAAATTTCAACAGTGTTCGAGTTGCATTATGCAATTTATCTGCTTTTTGATATTTTGATATCAAAAGCTGGATAATACAAACAGCACGCGGTTTGTTTACACGTATAAATATTTACCAGCAAAAAAAGGCTTTTTGTCAATTCAATTGAATCATGATCAATTTTACCGGTGTTTAATTTTAATAGCTTTGCCCCAACCCATTTTCTCACTTACCGTGAAGTGTCAATGCATTTGGTAATAAAGCTTTTCCGAAGTGCTCATGACTTCATCATGTCAAGTGCATCATTAAGTAGGTAACACATTCAGAAATATTTTATTATAATTTCTTAACTGTTTTATTAAAGAAGAAATTTTTTAGAAGTTCTTTGTCAACAATAATTGAATTTTGTTCTGATTAAGAAATTTTATTTTTACATAGCTGGAAAATGGAATAGAAAAAATTCAATATGGCCCTTCAAAAGTCTTCTAATTGTCATATCTACCTTAATTGAAAACAAAATACCTATGTCAAATTTAATTGAAAGATGATTCTAGATGAAATTTTCAACAAATTGTGTAACGTTTAATAGTAATTTGTAAGTATCCAATAATCGAACTAATCTATAAAAATATGAATCTTTTTATTCAGTCTTGAACCAAATTTCTCAAATAAATGAAATTCTTCATAGCTTGGATAAAATATTTCAACACCTTTTTATTTATTAATTAATCTGGGAAGCTTTCATAAAAAAACATATAAAAATAAAACAACAACGTAATCTTTATTGCTTGTTGTGTTCTAAGGAATTCCTAACAAATTATTTCGGGTCTATTTTCATAAACGTGAACTATTATTTATAAAAGACATGCCTTGAAATTTTTACCATAAAAATTAAAATTAAACAACTTATGAGAGATGTACGTAAGAGAGAATAAGTAACAGTGAACAAAAGAAGTTTAAAAAATACCTTTATTCATAATGCATCATGCTCGACTTCTCTTTACCCTTGTATTAATAATATATTTTTATAAGTTTTATGTTTTTTTCCGCTTAAAAAAAGAAAGTCCTGGAAGGTAATGCACATTCTGTTTTCTTTCATTTTTTATTTACACAGGGATTCACCTTTTTTTATTTTTCATCAGTTTACAAAATGTATGGATCTCATTTACTGTATCCAACTCACGGGCTTATAAAAAATCATTTTAAATATGAAAATTAAAATTTAAATATTTATGTTGAATTTACAGAAAACGAAAGAATAACGGAGAGGGCTTTGTGCTTTCTAAAATAAAAACGTTTATAAATTAAGTGCTATAAATTGTAATACTTACTTGTAGGATATCAGGTTAAATTTTGCGTGAAGTTTTGAAGGCTATAGGAGAACATTTTGAAAAAAATTACATTAGCTAAGTTCGACTTCATAAAAAACTTTTTCAAGTTGCACATTTATTTTTTTCTGTTAATTAATCTAATTTTTTTAAGAAAGATCTGAGAATAAAATATATAATCGTATTTAGGAGTGCATGAATGTCTTAATAATATAAAAAGCACAATTTTTCATCATTCTAAAAAATAGTTTTGAAACAAGAAAGCAACTCTTCCACCCTGTTCTATCGTCCAACGTTTTCGCTGATTGTCGTAGGTTGGAGGATAACAGATAATTGAATTACAATTTTGTAACATCAGAAACATAAAACATGAGTCTGTTAGTCTCAGGAATGTTATAAATGAAAAGAAATCAGATGATTATTGTTTACTCACAATTACACAATAAAAGTTTTGATAAATTGGAAATATTTCTATCTAATTATTTTTAATTTAAATCTTGAAGATACTCTGAAAAACGGTGAAAGAGGTCAATGCCTTAATGCAGATGTCAAATCTCATCAAATAGTTGATATCTATTAATATCAATACAAATGTTATTGAATTTAACAACTCTGACAAAATCATGACAAATTTTCATGTTAAAAGTAAAAAACACTTCTGCTAGCGGATATCAAAGTGGTTTTAAAGACGACAAATGTTCTTTTTACTTAAATATGTTTGTCGGTGCAAACTCACTATGTTATCTTTTCTAGAATGATAAATATTGAAAATATATCATCTCCCTCAAACTTTTCTGATTTCCCTAGTATTCGAATTTAGTTTGTAAAAGCAAAAAAATATCTACGAGCAGACACTGGACATTCATTTCAGATCAGAAATATGTACATTGGAGAGATACACATTTGCATTCGATCATAGACTTTTTCCTATTCAATGCAATATTTTTGTGAAAATACGTAGAAGGAAGACCGAGAAATTTCTATTTGAACTGGAAAGAAAACTGTGCAAGTATTGAAATTTTCTGCTTTCAATATCATTCAGTTGCACATTCACTAGTCGATAACAACTGTAGTCTCTTCATATCTACATGAATTGTACAATAATGATGATAAAAATATGAAATAAGATTTTAAAATTTTGAATCAATCACTTTCAAATTCATAGAATTTCTATGTCTATGTTAAAACATGAAAAGAACAAAATTTCAAGTAGATACCTACTAATAAATAGAAAGAAATTAGAAAGAGAAAAAAATTCAAATAAAATTATTGAAAAGTTTGAACGATTTTGAATCAAATTGCGATGTGCATCAAAGAATCCTTGGGCGATAAAAGGTAAACTATGTATATCTAATGTAAACTATTTGAATCGTATGCCTTTTGAGACCATACACTACATGAGTCCCAGATATTTTCAAGTCTATCCTATTAATCAATGATTTCTATCCAAAATATTTTAGTCTGATTACTTATCACTTCTAGTTGAATAAGCTCAAATTATAAAAAATGTTTTTCTGTACCTTTGTTTCTAAAATTTTAGAAATTAAAATTAGATTTTTATATCGTAGTTAACTGCATAAAAATTTCTTTTTTTCCTGGTAACTAGTTTCTAAATGTCTTTATTAAATGTCTCTATATCAGATGTAAGCAAGTTCAAATAATAATAAAAATAAATGTAAGTAATAACAAGATTTGTTTTGTAGACGCCATAGATAACTTGTATAGGCAAATAAGAAGAGTTAGAAAAAAAAACCACTCAACTTATCAAGAAACTCGAGCTATCAGTTCAAATTAATAAATATTTATTGAACATTTCGTCTCAATAATAAAAATAGGAATTAAACATTGTTGAAAATAGCTCTAAAAAGAAAACCTTGATTTCTCATATCAACTCTTATCTTTCTTTTTTAATAAAAATATTTATTATTATTTTTTACAAAGTTTTGCTACGAATGCGAGCAAAATAAATTAATTAACGTTTACAGTATCAATCAATAATGATTATTATTTTTTGGGACAATTTTAAATTGTCATATCGGAATTTAATTACTTTTTTGATGATATTTCTGACATTGATGTTTTATTACGTTTTGGTTTACGATTTGGGAACATTTATAATATTTCAATTTTATCAAGTCAAAAAGTAAACTTTCATGAGACATTGAGTTCATTCTGTTATTTTTATATTTTTATCATTTTCATTTATTAATTCATCAATTCAACGTCAATTTTTTCGATTTTTATTTTCATTAAAGAGTTCCGCTTTTAACAGTATTTATATCTACTTATATATTGTAATATCATTGGAAATCAAGTAAATATTATAGGTTCTATAATCCATAATTTCCATCTTAATATGATTTGTAAAAGCTTTTATCTTAATTTCATTTACTCAAATATTTCGCTAGATTGAAAGCATAAAAAATATGCTGCAAATAAATTACATAGCATGAACCTGATCATGAATATAGTATGAGTTTTCTTGTTCATTGTAGATACACGTAAGTATGTAGCATCAATAAAATATTAAATTTAATTGTTTGATTTATAACGCAAGAGAAGCTTTTGAGAAGATATTCTAAAACTTAATTCCTGGAGAATGAGTGCACTATAGAAATTTTCAAAACTAGCATAAAAACATAAACATCAAAACAAGTATGCAAGGAACCGTTTGCTAACTTATTAACAGTGAACCCTTGATATAAGAATAGTTGAAATGTTGTATCAAGGGAATTTTGCTTCAGATTTTGAGGCAAATGCAACGAACCACGAGCTCACGAGCTTTATGCTGAAAAATATTAAATATTCAATCATAAAAATCTTAATTCAATCAAAGAAATAATAAATCTTTGATGTATGTAAATAAATTTGAAAGCAGGAAAAAATTCTTAAATAGATAGCAAACAATAACATTAAAATATATTTAATCTGTTTCTTTCTACATTTGGACTTTAATTGAACCTCAAAAATACAAAAACAAAATACCTTTAGGTATATAAGAAAGATTATGTTGCTGCTTTTGATGTTTTTCTCTTCTTGATTTAGAGTCTAAACAGAAAGTTGAAAATGAAAAATGAGCTCAACATTCTTTCATGATCTCATTATTTAGATCGTTCATCAAATCGAACAAATAAAATATCATCTTTGTAACTTGTGCGATATAAAAAATAACTAAAGCAGAATATCGAGATATAAGCATTTTAGAAATATATTAAATGGGGTTGGTCAAAAAAATTATTTATGTAATGTTTTTCCAAAATCTAAATGTTAAGAAATTAGCTATGAATCTTACGTGGAATTCAAATCAAAATTCTCATTTTACATTGAAGTTTGACGTTGAAAATAAATACGATTAGCCAATGTATATTCGAATTAAAATAATATTTATAGCATTGATCTATGGTTCATTAGTAAATGATGTCTTAAACAAGAAAAAAAACTCACTTTGCTTAAAATGTAATATCAATCGAACAACCAACAATATAAATAATCCAATCAATACCTCGATTTTACAAAAATCAGTTTTTGCTCATATATTTTATTTATTTTTCTTTATTTATATTTCCTAATATCAAAAAGAAGATCAGAGATGAAAGAGAAGAAATGAAATATACGAAATAATATCTTTCAATCGTTTTTTTTCTGCTTTTCTTTTCAAATTTAATTTATTTTTTAATTGCTTCTACATATTTGAATTCGAAGAGAGAAATCCATTACTTTTACAGTGCGTTTAATGAACATTCTTTGGAAGTTTAGCAGAACAACTTTAATCAATATGAAACAACGTATTGACAACATGCAGCAAAAACGTGCTGTAATTTTGGAAAATGAGCTAGAAAATTATTTAACATGAATTATTACATTTTATGATATTTGAAGGTGCACACAGTAGAAGGACAAGAACGAGAAATTTTTCTCGATATAAAATTTACATTTCATTTTCGTCGCTTCTATTTCCAGAACACTGAATATATAAATTTGAGAATAGGAGTTTGCAACATTTCATCATGCGTTCATTTATTATATTTGTTGATACATGGAATTTTTCTGCACTCATATCACACTCGTAATCCTCTTACATCGTTCTAGAGAATATTTACGAAGCTTTGTCTCGCCCAAAGGTTTACGCTTTGTATTTGCATGATTGTTGAATGCAAGAGTAAGCAATAATGCGTAGTCTTCCATTATTAATTAAATAATGTCTGCACATTTCTATTTCCAGCCTTTTGAAACTTAGAAAGAAAAAACATTTCAAAATCTACATGAATATAGAAAATAATCATAAATTTGTGATTTCAGCCTATAAATACATTTTATACACATAAGCGCTAAAAGGAGATCTGGTGTGGGTGGCCCACCAACAATCTCATATCGCTAACATGAAAAATGGTTTTCGCAAAAGTCCAAGCCACACTCTACAATAGATGATGCAAAACATTTTTCGGCGAGGGTCGTCACAGATTCGAAAGGATGTGTGCTTTTCGTAGAAACAATTCCGTGTACGTATGTTTCATTATTTTCGTGAGGCAAAATATCTGAAGAGGATCTCTCGGAAAATATTTTATTGTCTTCTACTCGTCCTGTTTTCGCATAAAATATAAATTTCAACCCCATATCTATATTCAATTTCGCAAAAACTGTTTGACGATGTATATTTCTGTGGCTATTGGAATTGAAAATTAAATCAATTTTATGTGTGTTCGTGTAAGCATATATGTAGCTACTAGCTGGTGAGATCGAAACTATTATAGTTTTCCGTCAAAAGTCAATGTCTAATTTTCATCATTTCTGCTATCAATTTTATGCAGATAAGCTAAGGTATAGAAAAAACAAAAACTATGTTCTCGCAATCTACTTGAAGGAATCATGTGTTAACATTTCTTCAATTTTTAAAGATATTTTTTTAGAATAACATATCTAACATATATCAAGTAGGATTTCCTGTCAAGTTGATTGCAAATTTTGAAAGAAGAGTTATGTGCGCATATAGATTTAAAAATCACACATTTCTCACACAAATCATTTAAATATTTATGTGTATGTCCAAAATATGCATCCCTATGAATGATATCTTATGAGGGAATTGCATAATGTTTGTCTACCCTAAATATATAAGTTTATGTACATTTGCTTGTTTTTATTCGACAGATAATGTTTAAATCGAGTAATAAAGTTGCCTTATTTCGTTGCAGATACTTATGAACGATGGATACGTTTATCATATTTTACTCCATCAGGCTTTCGTTTCTGAAGAAAACTTCATTAGATGGAATTTTTTTATTTTTTAGAATATTTCTATGGAACACAAGTTTTAAAGTATCGATATGAAGAAAAAGTTTTATTTTTATTTTTGCAAGTACCTTTCAGTTGCATGTTTAACAAAGTTGTTGGAATATTTATTGTTTGTAACTTCTATATCTTTAATGCGTAAACCAACAATAAAGTTGCCAATTAAAATCAACACTGAAAGATAGAAGGAAATATGCAAAAACTAAAACCTGTTAACAATATTGTAAACATTTGCAATGAAAGTTAACAAAATGTTAAAGTTCAATAAAAAGTATTATTCTTTCATTGCATGCTTATGTCATGAAGTAACTTCTGATTTATAAATGATAATTATCATGGCGCAGAATAGGAAATGTTAAGCTTGGAGTAATGAGTCGAAGAGGCTGGGCAACACAGAAAAAAAATCAAAAGGTGGGGAAAATTTTTCGTGCATATTTTTTTTATGTATTTATGGTTCTCACACAATTTTCTTCTTTCTCATACACGCAAGGCCGTTCATAACAACATGGAAAAATTGCAATGTATCAATGCAATATATTTTTATGTTGCTTTTTTATGCTGTCTGGGCTATTCGCATTGCACGACGTATTCTCTCAAAAACCTACACATTCAAGTTTTCCTCTCATTTTCAACACATTCAAAGAATTTCTCTCTCATTAACGAATTAAAAGAAAACATTTTCATTCATTTTTGGATACATTTTAGTTCTCATCGGTCTTTCGTTCGAAGAAGTTCGTTTTTTCGGTCGCCATTGTCTCAAGAGGCTCTAATAATAAACATTTATTATTGAAATGTATAAACTGTAATAAGAAATAAAAAATAATAATGAATTGAAACAATTACAACTCTCGAGAAGGCAAACAGTGTAAGAAAAGAAACAAATAAAACATATATAAAGAAAGAAAAGACAAAACTAATTATCTGAGAAATATTTAATTATAGAAATAAAGTCTCTAATGTAAATTGTTTTTAATATTATATCTTTGGAGTTGGTATATTACGTTTGAATAATAAATGACTACAGTTGGATGAAAAAAAAATTGTGAACGACATAGAAACAATGTGGATACATGATTCAGTTTAAGAAGAAATAAAATAACTATTTCTGCCTTATCGTAATTGGAAATTCTTTCTGAATAATTCAATCATAAAAATCATCTTAAAATTTATTGAAAATAGAGCGGAGAACACATCATAAGTGGAATATATATTTATATATATATAAATAAAAATTGTTTGTTCATCATTGAATGCTAGCCCAGATATGAATTATAAACTGAGTGAAAAAATGGATTTTGAAAAGGCGCATTAAAAGCAGCCGCGAAACAAATATAAATATAACATTTTTGTTTTGAAAGTTAATTAAAGATTATTATAATTTGCTTTTGTTGTTTTTTATGATACAATAGTCATTAAAAGAAATAACTTTGAAATATAAAAGAGGAAAAACAGAATTAAATAATAAAATACACACAATTTCCAGTTGTTTGTTTTTGGTGTTTTGATAAATATCCGAACGTGAATATTTAAGAAAAAGAACGAAGTTTATGTGGATTCACCAGATATACGCGCTCTCTCAGTTTATGTATCGTGCATGTGCCGCTTTATATTTCATTAGTATATAAGAAGCTAAATTGTGTGCAGCGTATATTACAACAATAGAATATCATCTGTATTATCACATGGTGCGCATAAGTAGCAACGTTTTGAGAACTTACGTATTTCGGAAAAATTTGAAGACGGAGAAGAAGACTTCGTCCCATACTCATCCTTCGTTTGCCATATTATATACACCTACCTAAAAAAGAAGTAAAGGAAATTTCTTTCTCATTCTTGCATATCTTGGAGTGTTCTCTCGACAGACAAAATTCAAGTGATAGTAAAAATATAACTTTTACTTTCATCAGCAAAACACGAGAATCCACGTCTAGGGAGCAATTTCACATCGACTAGACACTTTGGAAAGTATATAAGCTGCATTATATACTCTCGAGTTTATCTCGTATACAAAAGGAAACTCTGAAGCGTCGTTTTGTGGATCTTGTGCTAAAATGCCATCAAACACACCACCGAGTAAAAATCCATCACCTACAAGCATTGTAGAGAATCGATCGCAAGAAATGGAAGATCCACCAGCAGATTTTTCAGCTTCAAAATTCAACATGAAAAGTGTAAACAATGCTTCGGTAAATGACAGTAATAACAACAATAAGAATAATTCGCAGCAGTTTTGTCTTCGTTGGAACAACTATCAGACAAACCTAACTTGCGTGTTTGATCAACTGCTACAAAGTGAATCGTTTGTTGATGTAACACTTGCATGTGATGGTAACCAGATTAAAGCGCACAAAATTGTTCTGTCAGCATGTAGTCCCTACTTTCAATCGTTGTTCTTTGATAATCCATGCCAACATCCAATCATTATCATGCGCGACGTAAAATGGCCTGAATTGAAGGCAATTGTTGAATTTATGTATAAAGGTGAAATAAATGTAAACCAGGATCAAATAAGTCCATTGCTAGCTATTGCTGAAATGCTACAAATTCGTGGATTAGCTGAAGTCAACAGTGAACAGAATGCAATGGGAAATAATTTGTCAGATACACAAATAGAGACAAAGCAAACACCGTCGGTTGATTTAACAGCAAAATCGCGTTCTGTTGAATCTTCTCCAGTACCAACTTTCGATATCGAAGAGCAGATAAACAATCAAGTGCAACAATTTCAAAAGCATGATAAACCTGATTTAAAAAAGGCTAGAATATCAGCCAGAGATTGGGAATCTATGGCATCACTTGATGCTCTTAATCCTTCATCGACAAAAAATCAACGAAAGCGTCGATGGCCTTCCGGTGAAAGAAATAATATTGTTAATTCGCCACCAGAAAATTCGGAAACTTCATCGGGGTTATCAGTCAACCAAACCCTTTCACGCTCTTCTCCCACATCAAGTCAAATTCCAACTTTTCCATTACCGACAACTCTTGACACGCTTGCACTTCAACAACTCTCAATGCACCATACCGATGAATTGGAGATTAAACCAGGCATTGCTGAAATGATTCGAGAAGAAGAACGAGTAAGTAGAACTTAATAATAATTCTAAAAAAATATTTTCAACTTGAGGCAACTTAATGAAAAATGTTTCTTATTTTCATCCAAATTCCTAAATTCTTTCAATTTTATTTAAAAACATAAGAAGAGAATTTAATCAGTACACTTGCATAGATTTTGTTAACTAAGTTTCCTCATCGTTGATAAAGCATATTTGAAAATATTTCACCTGACTATTTAAAAAGTTTACAATCAAAACAGCATTGAGCAAAAAATGAGAGCACATTTTTTTGTTTTAATAGACCCATGACTCGTATTTTAATAAGTTGTTCGCCATTCCAAAAATGCTTATAAATAAATCAAACCTTATTATTCCGTCTTTAGAAAAAATATGTATATAAATAGATATAAGTTTTATGAATATATGTAGAATAAGTTACATACATCTGCATACATAAATGTATATATTTAATAAGTACTTCAAGGCTTTTAACAGTGAGGTATTCTTTCTTTATTCTACAATACTTCCATGTCATGACTTTGCAATACAAAACAATCATGACGTTTCTGTCACAATATTCGATTTTTATAATGCGTTACTCATGTAGATATATTATTTGAATCAGTACATCGACATCTAATCATCCTCCTTACCCTCAACTTTTGTTATGTGTAAGGTAGCGACTATTAGAATCATAATCGTAAATCACATAACTTATGAGTTGAATATCTCATTTCGATTTTTAATGTTGAATTTTTTTTATCTTCATCAAAAGAAGAATAGGGCTGACAATGGTTGTGTGGTGAAAAGAAATGAGTAATATATTATTAATGTACATATATATACATATATACATATAAAGAAAGAATCATAAAAACATAATAATAATAATTATATATTTTTTGAAACGTATTTTTATTGCTGTTTTTTAGTTCCAACATCTCCCTTCGATTCGTAGATCGAAAAGCACTCGAAGAGTTATTTTTATTCGGCTCATTCTCCCCACGGGAAGTTGAAGTCTGTAAAGCCGACGAGAAAAGACTCAAAGAGAATTCGAACAAATAAAATAAATTATAAGATTTTTTTCTAATAAAATTATTATTCTAATTACGAAAATTGCTACTAAGATTTTTTTAGTTTTTATACCGGCAATTATATCGAATGAGAAATCTAAAAATTCATCTTTGAGTATTAAGTTTGGAAACCAAAGCGTCTAACTGTATAAAAAGTTTAAGAAAAAGTCTTATACTTAAATAACATTAAGTTAGAGTCATAAATGATTTAATATTTGCTTTCTCATTAAATGTATTTTCATCCGCTTTGCTTATACAGTAATAAAATGTACAATCTTTCAGAGTTGACTTAGAAAACACGAACAGAGACGGCTTTAGTGTGGTCGATACAATAAATAAATGTTACATATGAAATACAAATTAAATTCCTAAACGCGTGTGAGACAACTTAATTATCATAATAATAACATACATTTTAATAAATTATCACACTGACATACCATCGTCGACGATTTTTTTATATTATAATTCAAAAGTAACATTACCTTAAGTAAAATAAAAAAAAAGCTTATCCTGTTTCCAAATTATTCAAGATAACAAAAGAAGACTCGACATCTATGAGACAAAATGTTACTTACAACTCACGAATCGCTTCAGCAATCATGTATACAGCAACTTCTTTTTCTTCTTCCTCACCGTCTAAGCACTAACCTCATAAATAGGAAGCATATCTTTATCTTGTTTGATTCCCTTTCAACCCATGAACTCTGCATTAGTTCGGTAGAGAAGAACAAATGTGTGTCCTACATTGTGTCTGTCTCGTTGTCTCACACATAATAGGTAAATGTACGATTATTATCTTATTCTCTTCTCCTTTATGTTGAATTGTTAGTCATGCTGTTTTCTTTTGCTCTCGTATACACTTTTTTAATTTTTTTCTTTCTTAAAGCGACCTTTCTCTTTATAGACATCATCACTTGTTGATCTCATTTTCATTAGGCATGTAAGAGCCTTTTTTATGAAACGTGATACATTTTAACCAATCTGTATGTGAGTGTCGAGTTATTTAGACATAAACATTTTATTATTGAAGAATTAAATCATCCTTCAACTCAACCATCATGCAAATATGTTTGTTCAAATAATTTGCAATTTTCATAATTTTATATTTAATTTGGCTTTTGAACAATGCGATACGTTTAAATAAAACTTTTTTTTCATAATAAAAGTACCTGAAATACAACAAGAATTAAGCATTGAATGAAAAAATTATTTAAAACGATTGAATATGTATTTATAAGTTCAAAGTAATCTATTACAAATATGTCGATATCTTCCATAATGCAAAACAGTAATCTTTTGCTGTTATTTAGCAACAACTCTAATTTATTCAAATTAATGATTGTATTATTTATTGAAAGGTGAATTGCAAAATTAAATAAATCAGAAAACGATTATTTTAATAACGATTTTAAAAAAGAAAAAATATTGGCACCACAGGTAGAGTGAAGCAGAGTTGGGCGATCCATTTTCTGATCCATTTTCTGATCGGAAAATTTTAAATATTGGATCTTGGATCCATGGAAGAATTTGGACCGTGGAAATGAATCAGCATTCCGAGTTATACCGAAAAAATTTTGGATCGCCCAACTCTGAGTGGAAGTTGTGAACTCCAAGGGTCAAATAATGTTTCTGTTGTACGAAGCCAAGTCTATTGAAAATAGTTGAATTCCACAAGGCAAAGTTTGAGGTGTAACAATTGAGAAATTTTATCGATTTAATCTACTTATATTTCAAAGAAATTAAGTTTATGCATATATTTAATTTCAATATCATAGGTTATAGATGATTGCAACCCAATTTGATATAATTACCTATTATTTGAATGAAAAATTACTATGACGTCATCAACTCAGTCGGACAAATAAATGTATTACGTATTCTTGTATGAAAAGAAGAAATGTATTTTATTTATTTGTAATTTAATAACGTTCCCTTGGAAAACAAAACAGAGCCGTCTATGATAAACATTTTATTTTTCTAAGCTTTAGGAAATGGAAAGGGTTGAAAAAGTTCATAAATATTTATTAATGTTGATAAATTCTACTGTTAGATCAAATTAAATATAGTTAATTTAAGCGATGTATACTAAGCAGAGTAATGCAAAAATATTTTCCTTATTATAAGTATTTGTCATGCGAATATGGATATTTTCCGAAATTTTTAGAATTTCATTCTCTTCTCATGTATCATATATTGACTTGGGCACTTAATAATAAAAGAAACCAAAGTTGAGCTTTTCTTGGCATGGAAAGTCATGAAAGCTTCATATTAATTAATATTTCATCCATAAAAACAAGCAAAAAAATAATTGTTAAACGCTAACAATTTTTCCATCAAATTTTAACTGAATATTAACGAAACACTATTTATTCAGACATTTATTTTAATTGATATAATTGCTTTGAAGAAAATATTTCATTTTGTTTTCCAATTTCAATGTATATATATTTAGTTATAAGCTTGTTTATAAATGTCAAACAATTAAAATTCTAATAGCTTATTCCTAAACTAAATTATCGACATATTTCTCCTTAGATTTTAAGTTTTCCTTCAATTTCGATACAAATTGAAAAAATGAATTTGATAGCTACCTAAAATATTTATTAACACAAACTGATTCGACTTCAACTTTTCCGAACAATTATACATAAACTTATTGATTAGAAAAAACAATAAATTTTTTTTAATTGAAAATGTATCAAAATTTCATTGAAAAAAATACAAAACAGAACCAATAGTTTGATGTATTTAGTAAATATTAATAACATAATACTGATCTATGAAATGTATTGATAATTAGAAGTAACTTTATGAAATTCTAAATCAGTTTTTATTTCCAATATCCTCAAAATTATTTGATACTCTTGAGATGTTTCTAAATTTTCTATAAAACCAATTAGCAACGAAAACGTTGAAAATTCTTGCCTTTCTGGCCTGATATTTTATTATAAAATTTTATTGAAGGCTATCCCAATGCAGGGACGAAAACAAATGTAAAAGATATTTACATATTGATGTTTATTTGACAGAAAACTTTCACACATTTTGACCTAATTTATGGGAAATTTCGGAAAACTTTTAAAGTGAAAGAACATACATTTTCCTTGTTCTGAACATTTTCCCTAAATATTTGTCTCTCATTTAAGGAACATGAGTCATGAGTTAAGTTTGCAACACGTCGAAATCAAAAGAGTGTAAACCTAATTGACTTTAAATTTGAATGCAAGTACAATGATTGCACAATTCATATATCATTTTATCATTAAACTAATTACATTTTATTTGCGTGTGCAACTTTAAATATACATTTTCTTTATGTTCTTTTTTACATACATTTTTCAAAAAACAAATGTTTAGATAATGTATGTTTCAAGCACATTATTTTCAAGTTTAGTTCTGATTGTGAAGGGAATTTTTACGAGATTTTTTTATAACAACTTTGATTACATGAAAAGAATTGTAGTGCAAAAACTTTAAGTTGCAAAATATAATAATAATAAAAAACTACAAGTAAGAAACAACAATACAATTCAAATTAAATTCTCGTTATGTGATTTTTCCAGATAGTTGGTGGAAATTTTTCGACTTTTAATAAAATATCGTTTCTTAACACGTGCATTTATTATACTTCGTTGCAAGAATGAGAACGAAAAAAAAATATAAAAGTAAACTAGTAAAAAATACATTTAATATCGTCGAAACACTTAATTTTTAATTTTACGATAATAAAATGCAAGTAGTTCCCCTCCAAGCAAGTGCTACTGTATATCTTATTTTATACTGTAATGCCAGGTCAGATTGACCTAAACTATATGATTATGCAAATTGTGTGTCTGTTGTTCTGCTCTTGCATCTTATACTTGTGTGTCTACATTCAACAGCACATACACCTGCACTCTATGTTTTTTTTCTCTTTCCACGAAGAACATGATTTTAACATTTAAACATAATACAATACAAAATTGCAGGCTTCTTACCATCAGTTTCTTTTTGTGCTTTTTATTTCCTCCAAATTTTCTTTTGAGTAAGCTTGATTGTTTAACATGAATTCTGAACTGTTCGTTTATTAATTTTTCTTTTAGACAAAAACAAAACTCAACGATTTTAATGTAAGTAATCCTGTGCTGATGATTATGGAACATAATATGTACACCGCTTTTATTCATAACTGATTTATCCATCGACGAATTATATATGATGAAGGCAAAGTATCTACAAGAAAATATATGCAAAATAACTAATATTTTATCATGCATGAAAACATTTTTTTGCGTTATAAAGCTTTTCTTTCTTCATACACAAACAGTGTTGTTTCCAAAAGAATAATAGACACATAAATATTTTCTAATTATTACACTTCATCCTGCATTGTGAAATACATTTTTATTGTATTTCAAAAATCTATGTGTCTGAAACATTTTCTTTTGAAATATTTATTTTGTCCATACAGAATTCATCATTCCTAAAGCAACAATAAATATCCATTAAAATATTGCACTCATGACAAACAAATATTTTCCGATTTTCAAGTGACTACCAGTGAAATTAGAAAAACTGTTTGATTTTAATAATTAAAACAAGTCTGATTGAATTAAAATAAATCAAATATCAGCAAATATGTTACAAGTTTTATCAAAATAAATTTTGACTAAATTATTTAAATAATTAACCACTTAATAAACAAATAAAATACTACCTGGTGGTAAGAGAGCAGTTTCAGAGTTAGAAAATATTATTTAAAGGCTAGACATACAAAATTGTTAAGTTAGAAGGGGATAAATCTATTCTTGTATCCATTTTAAATAAAACTTAGATATTGAAGTAAATAAATAAATGAAGATAAATAATCTTTATAATAATATCCTCAGCCTTTAATAAATTATATTGCAAATATTCTGTACATTTGTAAACAAACATTTTATCAATCTAAATTTCTTATACTGCATACCTGTGCATGAAAATTATCACAATGTACTTATATCAGGGTATTTAGGGTTAAACCACATAATATGAAGAAAAGCGACAAACCGATTAAATTATGAAGAGTTTCATTTTCCTTGTGGGGCAAAATTCTTCCATTTAGAAAATAATTAGATATTCGATAATCTATGATACTTGTCATAACTACACGGTGTAGCAATTGTCCTTAGTTAATACATTTTTCTAAGAACTCAATAAAAGAAAACACAAGCTTGAAGGTTGAATTAAGTTTTATTTCTCAATTAAGCGGTTGATTGCTTACAATATTCAAGCTTAAATCTGCATTTATTTGTAATAACATATTATACTTGATGCATATTTTAGTTATATTGAAAACACAAATAAGAGCATGGAAATTCCATCCTTCTTTTCTAGATTTCGAACCTCTGGGGAATCTTACATTTAATCATTATCACCTGACATTTTCACTTCTCAGAAATTATTTTAATTTTCCATATTTTTATGACTATCATAGTCAAAATAACGCAATTTAAAGCCAATAACGAGGTTTGTAACAAAATTGAGTTTTGGGTGCTTCCGCTAGGATATTTTAGTATTTTGAAATTCTGTTTCTGATGAAGCCCTGCTTCCCTTTCAATGCCTTAGAACAAACACATATTTCTTTAAATATTTATTTAAATAAGTTGACGCAACTGACAAGATAGAATTATTTCTCAAAGATTTATTCATAATTTCAAATAGTGTAATAATTAACTTACATTCGATACCCAAAAAAATAAGAAATAAAACGACAATCACACCTTAAAATCGCCTCAAGTCTCTTTCCAAACGCTCAATTAACCACATAACAATTTTTTTTATTTATTTCTATGGTAGAAACTTACTATGTATCTCACATTCTCTTTTCGAATATGAAAAAGAAATATATCAGTCAACTTGTGTGCTTCCATATATTTTAAATATTAATAATTAATATTGATAATAACAGAGCTGGGTTACTAACGAACGATATTTCAAATACGCCTCGACCACGTTTTGCTTTACAGAATCTACAATTTATCATGCATGATACATATACGACTACACATACATCTGAACGTACTGTAATAAATTAGTTTTGAATGCTTCCGAGCATCCAGGCAAGAATTGAATTGGCATTCTAGTAAAGAACAAAAATAAAAAAAAAAATTGCCTAAATAAATATTATTGATTAAATATCCTTTTGATATAAGAAATGTTTAATTTTCTAGTATGTTCACATACATTTAACGATGGATAATATTTTTTGTACATATCAAAATTGAACTTAAAAGAAACAGTCTGAAGTTCAGCAATCTATTTAGTTTACACCAATCTGTTTTTATTCCAATCTTAATCATTCTCGTATATTTATTTTCATTTCTATACAAAAAAATCTTTGAGAAAGAGCTGTTAGAAGTAATGGAAAATTTTTAATATTAGCTAGTCACCTACCATTATATATTTTTAAATAATAATATCATATCCAAACAACACAAGTCATTAATCATGCATACTCACAAATTTTTATATGTTTTAA